CTTTGTTCATGCTTAGCTTTTTGGAACAATCACTGACAGTAACGATTCTACTTGTAACTTTTAAACATGACTGACTTTATGAATATAAAAGCTTTCTTACATTTATCATGTAAGTAAGCTAAAACCTAAAACAAAAATCTAATGATAGTCATGAGCTGAACATTAATGAAAGCTTTTTTATTTTTTTAACCATATGTTACTTATGAAAAATGTATATATTTATATGGCCACCTTAATGTTATACCTGCATTTATCAAATAGTTCCTGAGACTCTGATGTGATGGGGGAGTCCTGTCAGCAAAGGTCCTATCAAACCTCAAGAGCCAGCAAAGCAAAATTGCTCAATTCAAGGAGATGATCTTCAGGGTGCCACGACATGAGGAAGACATCCACTTAAATATGTATAAGCCCAGGGCTCTTCACACACACACACACACACACACACACACACACACACTGGAAAGGAAAATCAAGTTAAAAGATGGTCTCATCCGAATGGTACAGTCTGTCACAGTATGCTACGGACCAAGATACTGTTGTATACACTTAAAGCATGCAGATTCATTATGTTTTGTGGCGATGTCATGGATTTTTTTCCCCGTTTGTTTGAATTACACCTTCCCTTCTGCACCAAACATATAAAGCACAGCTGTGGGACTGCAGTGATTCATTTTACATCCTTGAGTTACGAGCTGCTGCCTTTTGCAGGTTCTTAACAAACAGCTTTCACAATAGTGCAATTATCACACTTAATACACAGAGAAGCTATCTTGCTGCTCAGGGCATGAGATAAAACCGGCTACCGCAGTACTTCAAGACAGATTTTTAATTGCAACTTTGATTCACTGATGAAATTCACTTAAAATGCCATAAAATGAAAGCTGATGAAGAAATACTTCATTCACTCAATTCCTCTGCATGGCATGATGCAGCGGTGACAGTCGCTCATCTCAAATGAATTAACTTCCACTGGAAAAGCAAAGTTTTTGCCACTTTGATGGATGACAAACCTGAATCTAAAACAAGTTTGACAAGTGCACTGCCTGCCTCCGGATGAGCTTCTGTTATGATAAGTGACACCATTCTACCCAAACACCCTTTTTAATCATTTAACCCAAATGCAGTTAAAAACATAACTGACAACATTTCGGCATCAACAACATCACCCTGCTCCCTACACGCTCATGATTCACTCATGATTCACTCATTTGCCACTCTGATTAAAGGTACAACCAACCCAAAAACCTCAAAGCCCCAAACCCCCAAAACTCTGTGAACTGACCGCATCAGATGTTTGCCCCAGATGCTTGGCCAACTGCCGTGCAGCAGGGCAGCCTGTGGACTCTTTGGGGCCTAGTTTAATGTGCGCTTAAGAGACAGAGGGACAGCGCGGATGCTGCGCTCACTCTCCTCCAAATATCTGCCCATCATTTATTCATCCACACTCCCAGGATGGCCGCTGCCGCCATCATCTGAGGACCCCGTCGTCTGAAGTTCTCTGCGCCTCTGTCGCTCAAACAAACACACGCATGCACATGCACTTTGCAAGCGGTCCCAGAGGTCTTTTAATTTTTTGAGAGGCTATTTTTAGTGAGAAAAATAATCGAGGTGGAAAGTTCCATCTGTCCAACACTCTTGTTCCAGCTGCTCCTTTTTAGCAGCAGGCGGAGATAGGGGGGGGGGGACGCTACTCATCAGATAAAGCTGACACAGACGGGATTTTTTTTATGATATGCATTCTGCATTAGCATTGGGCATATTGTAAGTTAAATGCTAGGTGCTTTACAGTATTTTTTTTTAAAAACTGCAAGATCACCCCGTGGTTACAAAACTGAGAGTATGTTTTAATGGCCTGCTGAGCTGTGCAGCGCTCTCCACCGCTTTAGCATATTTTTTATCTCTGCAAAGCTCTTGTCACTCTGCTCTCTCATCCCTCATTATACTGACTACCTGCAAATGTTGAAGAAAAAATGAACTGAACAAAACAAAGCAGCTTTGAAGAGGCAACAGAAAAACACCCGTGAACATGGTTTTAGTGATTTGCAGATGTATTATTGAACCGGCCATATATTGTGATATACCATTGTTTTTAACTTAACAGCTGGACGTCTTTTGACCTGCAAAACCACAACCATCCTTACTGCTGCTGTGAGCCCAGCGCAAATGAATGGCATGAATCATATTTGAATGACGAATTGATTGAAATGAAATCAGCAAACTGAGCCAAGGAGACCAAGTAAACAACAAACAGACAGGGCTTGCTATGTGATTTCATTACTTTGAGCAGAGCCTCAAAGGTTAACAAGCTCACAGAGAAAGTGGAGAAAAGAACTGGTCTAAGTTCATCTTTGATGCAGACATGAATGCCCTGAATGTCAATGAAGCAACACTCCATGTTGTCTTTTTTTTTTTTCCTTTCTTTCAACGCTCGAGAGCTCCTCGTCCTCTTCAAACATACAGGACAGTGGGATTGAAGCCCGGGGGCCAGTTCACTGTATGCTAATTTGAAATGTTCTATAAGATCTATTATTCAGACAACCAAAACAAACACCAGTAGCTGAAAAGTTCAGTGCCACCACCTCCGCTTGAATTTAATTTGTTGAATTGATTGGACCTCCGGATTGCAACCCCCTTGAGGATTGTGCAGTGGGAATTGTTAAATCAGGGCATCATGGACATAGCAGCTCTGTGTTGGTATCTCCAGGGGGGGTTTGTTATGTCAACAGCTGAACCAATCAGTTTATTATAGCATAGAGCCTACTATTTATTCTTCTAACTTTAACAAACTTTCTTCAAAGGTTTCAGGCACTGCAGATCTGAATAGCCCAACTTTTCTTTGCTGTGTAGCTGTAAGATGCCTATTTCTAATTGAGATGAAAGCATACAATATTTATGTGTAACTGGGGAGGGTTGATGGCTGAAGAAGGACATGACATGTCCTCTAACTAATGCTGAAAGTACGAAGGGCCCTGCCGTGAACTTGGCCGAGGCTGATGCCTGTCCAATTCACTTACAAATTTTACTTCCCCCTGTCATAGTTGCTCAAAGTTTTCTGCTTTTTGAAACAATCCTCTTTTCACTTTTTTTTAACTGTTTAGTGTAGGTCCACAGCTCCAAACACTCCCTGTATGACGTGTACATTGCATGCAAGCCAAAAAGATGTCAGATATTTTGTTAGAATAGAAACATGTGAGATAAAACTATTCAGGCCTCTTTGCGTAATAACACAAAACAATCCGGTGTCCGCTAACATAATGAACAGATCAGATCAATCTGGTGACAATGTCTGACATGCAAAAAGTGGAGGTCAGTTCACACAGCCAAAACAAGCAACCACAATCAATACTGCCTTTGCCGCATCGGAATTTATTTATAGAAACACTGGCAGCTTCCCACCAAGACGCAAGAGGAAACAAGAAAAATTGTCCAGTGAATGCAGCTTCTTTCTGAACAAGCTGGCTTGTTAAGAGAGCTGCTGAGCTTTTACACGCTGAGCAGATTGTTCTTCTTGTACAGTCACTTGTAGACTTGAACTATCGCTTGTTGCAGTGGCTGGGGTTTTATAAACTTGGGGGAGGGAAAAGAAATGGCCACAATCCAAAATATTATTTCAGACCATTTTATCAGACAAAGGGTCTGACTGATCAAATCAAATAAGCTTGAGTGTGTGTGTGTGTGTGTGTGTGAGAGAGAGAAATGTAACACTGAGTAAAGCTGACAAGACACCGTCTACTCACTGCAGAGGAGTACAGATAAAGAAGTGAGCAGCGGAGTGAAACACCTGGACAATCAGGACCAAATTCAATCTCACACAATTGTTCTGTCCAAATTGACATGTCAGGCCGGTGTGTGTATGCGTGTGTGTTTGTCTGTCTATGGTTCAGTGGAAACACTCTTTGTTATTCCAGACATCATCTCTAAAAGGACTTGGCTGGCATTTTCTAGCATTTTTTCTGCTCTGCTTTGCTGTTTTTCTGATAAACATTTAGACATTATGTGTAGAAAAGTTGAAAAAGATTTCTGGGAACTCGTTCGTTTTTAAAGTACAGCTATTTAACATCCTCATTCCACATTGGTGCATTTTAAACATCTTTATTCATTAGCGGACTTTAAACCTCCTATAGCATTTATAGGGACCTACTTAACAAATGCCACAGGCCGATTTAGAGGTCTCTTTTCAATATTTCATGGATATTATATATTACAACAAACAGCCAAGTAAAGTATAATAAACTCACTAAACCTGTATGCACTCCAAATGGGTAGCTGGATTACTAATAGTGCAACTGGACTAAGAAGTAATATTAGGTCAACAAACTTGCTGTTTAGGACCACACACAATCCAATTACCCATAGGAGAATTCTAGGAATTTTGTGATTTCCCTTTGGGGTTGCCTGCTCTCTTGTGCTTCCTGGTCTCTATGCTTCTCGTTAATCGGACGGCACCCACAACCCTCCGCCTTCTGCTGGTGGTGGTTGCATGGTTTTCCAAAAGCACTCGTTTTATACCTTATGAGACGCGCAAAAGCGATGTCAAGCACGGGATAGCACATCATGGATGACATCTGCACAATCTTTTGGAAGAAAAGACTCCTGTAAAAAGTCATCAAATGTCTGTGCTTTAGTTTAGTTTGTGAAAATGCGGGGATTTGTCAGCCTGATCCAAACATACAGTGTTGGGGTTGGGGGGGGGGTCATTGGGGGGGGGGTCAAATGGCCGTGGCACGCGCTCTTGGAGCAGAGAGGTCGAGCCCGTGGCACAATCTAATTCCAGATACATCTGTTTTTTCAGTGCTGACGCAGGTGTATGGTAATAATGATTTGTCCACGTGAGAGAAGATCTGTAAGACTTTTGAAATATTTCACAATAACCCATTATTGTTTATTATTGTTGTTGTTGTTGTTGTTGTTGTTGTTGTTGTTGTTGTTATGTTAACAAGGTACATTGTACTTGTAGTTGGGGATAACGTACACAAGTTTCCAAGTGTCGCAAAACTTACCCTCCATGCAGAAGATGACCATCCAGGCTATCCATAGGTCCGAGTTATGAAACTTCACCATGGTTCGTGACTGTTCAGTGACTGGTTCTCAGCTTTAGCCCAGTGCCTCCTTCTTTATGAAATCTCAGCTCAGCTCACAGTTTCCTTGAATAAAAGTAACTGTTCCTTGTAATGGCATGAGACATGAAAGCAGTTCGGGGTTTTACGCAGCGCACACCAGCGGCATTTCCAAACAGAAAAAAAGTGAAATGTTCAAATATGCGGGGGAAAGAACAGCATTTCTATCCAAAGGGCAGTCGTCTCTCCTGCGGGCGCTTTCTACTCCTCCTTGCCGTTGGCAGCTATACCGGTCACTCCAAGACTATTTTCTTTTCTACACCTCTCCAGACAATTTACGCACGCGAGGGAAAAACTCAATGTCCAACTGCTGGTGAAGGAAAACCTACCCACTGTCGCTGAAAGTGACTTACAAACTGATCAGAAACTGGCACTTTCCGCGTCCGCTTGGTAAGTCTCTCCAACGCGTCTTGTTGCGCTCCATGGTTTCTGTCTGTTATGCTGCAGCTGAGCGGAGAGGGGAGCAAATGTAACAGCATTGGAAACAACACGACTTCCGATTGATATATTTCAAAATAAAACAGCAAAAGAAGAGAGCGTCAGTCCGTCAGTCAGCGGGGAGTTCATGTGTAAGTGCTGTGCTTGGTAGAAATAATTTCTCAACAATAAAAGAAAAGGAAAATGTGCCAGAAAAAAAAAGTTAATGTTAAAATTCGTCACAATTACATAAGATAATAATAATAATAAAATAAAGAGAAATGCTGAAGTTTTTTAAACAAACAATCCAGCTTAAAACGTGAGTCTCCTTTGCTTCATGGTTACACCACTTTACTCCACTCTGCATCCAGTCCTACAGTAGAAATACCGGAAGGTGTTCAGCCTTAGAAAACAGGCATACCATCAATGGGGCTGCCAGAAACTCTCCAAAGTGTGCTTTTATTTTCCAGGTAAAATCCACCTGGCTTCCTGTTGTAGTTTGCGCTCAGCAGAGGATGATTGAGATGAGCTCGAGCTCTGCTGTTGCTGGGAGACCGCTGACGCCAGTGCAGAGAGAGAAACGTTCGTGCCCTCCTGCGGTGCGATCTCAGAACGACCCACACAATAGAACAGAATAGAACAGAACACAATAGAACAGAATAGAACAGAACACAGTAGAACAGAATACATTTGGTATTCTGCATACCTAGGCCTAGATACATGACACCTTTTACAGTAAATATAATAATATGTACAGCCTAATACATAATCAATGATATAAATCACAAGACTGCATATTTCTGCTAAGTAAGAAACATTTTCATGTTCTGCCATGATGATGCTAGCATTCATCACCCTCTTTGATTGCTTGATATCAGGACCTGCGTTCTGAGTCATTTTCATAATTTGCCATGTAAATATCGGCACACAGTGAGTTCTTCACTCTGTCTGTCACACACGAAGGGCAACAAGAGCAGCAGATAAACTGTATAAAGTGTCTCCTCTCTGTGTGTGAAAGACATTAAAATGTACGACTGCTTCTTCTGAATATTTTGATCTTAATGAATCAATGATTTGGCATGTCATTTGTAAAACAAAACAGTAATGTGTGGTGTAGTGCAGGTTTGTTAAAGACAAATCATTTCACATCAAGACAAGACTTTTGTGACGAAGAGCAGCATGGAGAAGGTGGGCTTCGAAGTGACTGTGGGCTGAAGGAACTACTCAGGGATAAAAAGAATCAGCTGAGGAGGCTGCATCAAACAACCAGTGTTCAGGCCTTTGATCACTCTGATCACACTTAGCTCACCTCAGCACTGAATAGCTGCTTATATCTTTTCTGCCTAACAAGATAGTGGGGCAGTTTGTTGGCCAATAAAGCATTCAAACATCAAAAGAGAAACATTCTGACTGATGTATTTTCTTCATTAAATTCAATTTTTAGACTTTGAGAAATGCAAAAATCAAAGGGAAAGGCATGATGGGGGCAGTGCCCCATACATCCATCTGTCCCTCCACCCCTCAGTTCTTTCTTCTGCCTCTAAGCTGTTGGCAGAAATTCAAAGATGTTTAGCTGTCACTGCAGACAAATAAGGTACAAAGTAGAGGATCATAAAGACGCCCTGAGGCATTCACATCAGTCTCTTTCTTCATCGCTCACTCACTTTCTCTTTCTGAAAAGGTCGTGCGACTTTGCGTTCAAGCGAGTTGCATCAGAGGGAGAACAAGATCCAGTGCACCGGGTCAGATCTTAAAAGTTTAAAGTGGTACACTGCGCTTGGTGTTACAGCGCACTTGAAGGAGTTCTCTGGTGTCACGCAAGGGCAGATGGGCTGATATGCAGTACGACATTTAAAGCTTTAGTCATTTCTGAATCAAAGACACTCAGTTTTTTTTCAAAAAGTGGATATTTTGCAGTGATGTATTAATGCAAAGCAGAATGAGGAACAGAATCTGTAGGGTCAGACAACCAAAGACATAGCACACAGGCACAGTACCAAACATGATCTACAGCATGATAACAGGGACACATGTGAAGGGTTCTGTTTGTGTCCAAAGTCCACAGATAAATTGCATTACAAATAAAATGTATTATTATTATAAATACACCATTTGTAGCAAATATTTCCAATATTATATGATTTTGTCTTCGTCTGAATGTCATTTGTGCTAAACCAATGCATTTTGTGTTACAGAAAGGCAAGAGTCAGTCACAGTTTGATCCACATATATACATCTGTTGTGCTAACAGCGTGAAGATTTTTGAAAAAGTAAAAACTCAGTATTGAAAAATGCTTGTTAGCAATTATAAAAAACTAACTCCAGTAACTGTAAGCTTCTTTTAGTTATTAATTAGTTATTACTCCTTTGCTTTATGAAAAGTCAGAGAACAGCGAAAGAATGTTATGTCTGACCAACAGTTCAAACCCAAAATACAGTAGCAAAGACTCACACTTGGGAATCTGGAATGAGAAGAAATTTCATATTTTGGCTTACAAAATGACTGAAAGGGAAAATCGACTATCAAAATGGTTGCAGATTGTTTCAGCTTTAGTTAATCTGGAAATTGAATTTTGTAGCATATATTGATAGATTATGATTGCAGTCTGATGTCCATACCTTGTCTTTAATGTGGACTGAAGTTTGGTGATTTGGTTATCATTTGACAGAAGCTATGGACAAATGCAATTGACTCAAGTTACAACAGTAAGGAAATGTGGAAAAGAGATAGCAAACATGCTGTTCTGAAAAGAGACGTCCTTTCCTCATACATTTTGACCAGCTCAATTCATCAAGAATCTCTTCTTAAAAATAATCCATTGATTTCTCCCTTCAGTATTACAGGTTCAAATCAAATAAAGGTTTGAACCTGATGGATGGGTTACATTGGGTTTCTTCAGCAGCCACTGAAAGATGCAGGCTTGATTTATTATTGATTCCTTTCTGAAACAGCTCCATTTTTCTTTTTCTTTTTTCTGCTCCCCCATAAAAGATTCAAAAGACCTGAAGGAGATCCCCAATGCTAAATGTTGCAATTCTCTTCTCTTAAAGTCCTGGCCAGAGTTCATGATAACTTGAATATTGATGTCAGGTAAACGGGTGACCCTTTGTTTAGTGCTGCATCGTACAAGTCATCTTACAAGTTCTTCTTCATAATGAGCACATATTGATAATATAAGTTCTGTATTTTTATGTAAAAATGTAAATGCAGAACCTTTAGCTGAAAGTTCAGTATTTTCACACTGTGGTATTTCTACTTTTACTTAAGGAAAAGAACTATATATCTTTTCAAGAGAATCTATTTCGGTAATTTCAGCGATATTGATTGCAATCAATTACAATGAGAAACAACAACACCGTCTATATGTTTTTGTATTAATAAAATCTAAAAATCTTCTACTTGGACTTTAAAGTTTGATTGACCTCTAACATGGATAACGCTGCCATCTTGTGGTGAAGAAAACACCCTTCACTTGACAGAAGAACCCTGCAGGGAGATGAAAATCCTGCAGGCATTTTGTTTGTTGTTACAACATTTAATTCTTGTAATCAGATTTGTTTACACAAGCAACATATTTCTGTGACACCAGTGAAAGAACATGAAGAGAAGTTGGTGCTACTGCACACTCGCCACACACACACTTTGGCAATGGACAAGATCATAAGAGACTAACAGAGCACTCCGGTCCCCCAGGAAGCATCACTTCTGAAATGACAAAAAGGACACATGATTGTTAAAGATAAGAATTCTTTTGGACCAGGAATGTTATGATGTCTAGTCAGGCCATGACAGGTCTGAGAACATGTGCTCACTCCCATGGAGGTGATTGGACAACAACAGCTTTTATGACTGCCCTATCTGTCTCTTCTCTCCTGCACAGGGCTTCTTTCTTTTTATATACAGTCTATGGCTTCTTTGCTCTTTTTGCTTTAGTCATTTGAATGGGAAACCTATTATTCACACAAATGTGACCAAAACGTTTGATTTCCTCTGAATATACTTGCAAGATAGTGAAACCAATTTAGTCTGATGGTGATTAAGAAAAGTGCTATAGAAATCAAAATTATTATTATTATCATTATTGCTATTATTATTATTATTCTTCATTTAACTGTAGAAGTTAGTAGTTGCTCTGAGATTGGCTAGATTAAAATGGATCTGGAAGATTGCCACTTGACATTAGTAAAAGCTATGAATGATAACACTGTGTGGTGTGTCTGATCTGATTACAACTGGTTCTGCTGGTAAGACCTGCTGTGAATGTCCTACATACACTACACTTTGAAACAAGGTGTGACATGTATGTCACCTGTACAGCCGCATTTTTTTGCATGTTGCAAAATGTTTTGGGAACTACAAGCTACACAAGTGTAACGTGGCAATAAAAGTTGGGTGGTTACTGTGCCATAAATTCCACATAGCAAGGCCCTAGTTTGCAAAGAGTAAAGCTATTTATATGTTAAAAATTTTACTAGCAAGACATGTCTACCAATTATCTGCAGCCTTGGCCCTACCTCATCATCGCTGGAGCCTGAAGATGAGGAGCCTGATTTTTTTCCCTCCTTGTGTCCCTTTTTCTTCTTGTCCTTCTTCTTGTCGTCTTTGCCTTTGTCCTTTCCCTTTTTGTCAGACTTGTCCTTACTTCCAGACTTGTCCTTACTGTCGGACTTGTCCTTACTGTCGGACTTGTCCTTACTTCCAGACTTGTCCTTACTGTCAGACTTTCCCTTTGAGTCCCCCTAAAAAATGAAAAAAGTTGACATTGAATAAATCCTTGACTGTGTTGATTTGATCTTAAGGATTGTGTTCAAGTCAAGTAATCATTATTAATTGATGTAGGTAAGAATTTACCAGAGAAGCAACTTTTTTCAGGCAATAGACACTTGGTCTTGCTTCCAAAACACAGCTATAATAACTAGTAGATTCTTACAACAAAAGACTCTATGAAAGACTACGAAAGCTCTTTTATGCTTCCCAGATACTCATGTAGTCACACTAGCATCTTTGTGAGAATTTACACATACAAAGTTCTTACCTTGTCCTTATCCTTTTTCCCCCAGGGCCAACTTAACTCATCCTTCTGAGCCTGCTCCTTCTTCACCACATCTTCATCCCCACCTATAGCTGCACATGAGCAGAGAGAGACAGATTGTGAGCAGTTTTGAAAATTCAGCTTAAAATAAATGTGAAAATTAAAATCAGGTAAAAGCAGCCAATTTACAAAGCAAAAGTACAACTACAAATAAAATACACCTTGCTGGAGCTGTATTGGACCTTTAATTGTGTTGCCCGGTGCAAAATCTGCCCTAAAATGCTGATGAAGTCACATCAAACAATAACATTCATGGTATTCCTACTAAATACAGTAAACATTAATTTAAGCCTACCTGCTGACAGATCCATTGTGACTCCTGTTTGTACGCTTAAGAAACCTCACAAGCAGGAAACCTGGATTGACCACACCTAAAGTCATGTCACCTGCTCTAACCACGCCCCCACAGGAGGGGGGGTGAGGGGATGGAGCCAATCCCATCTGATATCAGACGAAAGGCAAGGCGTGGTACACTCTGGAGAGATTATTATACACTGCTCAAAAAAATAAAGGGAACACTAAAATAACACATCCTAGATCTGAATGAATGAAATAATGTCATTAAATACTCCTTTCTTTACATAGTTGAATGAGCTGACAACAAAATCACACAAAAATTATCAATGGAAATCAAATTTATCAACCCATGGAGGTCTGGATTTGGAGTCACACTCAAAATCAAAGTGGAAAACCACACTACAGGCCGATCCAACTTTGATGTAATGTCCTTAAAACAAGTCAAAATGAGGCTCAGTAGTGTGTGTGGTCTCCATGTGCCTGTATAACCTCCTTACAACGCCTGGGCATGCTCCTGATGAGGTGGCGGTGGTCTCCTGAGGGATCTCCTCCCAGACCTGGACTAAAGCGTCCGTCAACTCCTGGACAGTGTGGTGCAACGTGGCGTTGGTGGATGGAGCGAGACATGATGTCCCAGATGTGCTCAATTGGATTCAGGTCTGGGGAACAAGCGGGCCGGCCCATAGCATCAATGCCTTCCTCTTGCAGGAACTGCTGACACACTCCAGCCACATGAGGTCTAGCATTGTGTTGCATTAGGAGGAACCCAGGGCCAACCGCACCAGCATATGGTCTCACAAGGGGTCTGAGGATCTCATCTCGGTACCTAATGGCAGTCAGGCTACCTCTGGCGAGCACATGGAGGGCTGTGCGGCACCTCGAAGAAATGCCACCCCACACCATTACTGACCCACCGCCAACCGGTCATGCTGGAGGATGTTGCAGGCAGCAGAACGTTCTCCACGGCGTCTGGCCTGTCTCCTGATGGCACCTCCATGCTCTGGACACTACGCTGACAGACACAGCAAACCTTCTTGCCACAACTCGCATTGATGTGCCATCCTGGATGAGCTGCACTACCTGAGCCACTTGTGTGGGTTGTAGACTCCGTCTCATGCTACCACTAGAGCGAAAGCACTGCCTGCATTCAAAAGTGACCAAAACATCAGCCAGGAAGCATAGGAACTGAGAAGTGGTCTGTGGTCACCACCTGCAGAACCACTCCTTTATTGGGGGTGTCTTGCAAATTTCCTATAATTTCCACCTGTTGTCTATTCCATTTGCACAACAGCATGTGAAATTGATTGTCAGTCAGTGTTGCTTCCTAAGTGGACAGTTTGATTTCACAGGAGTGTGATTGACTTGGAGTTACATTGTGTTGTTTAAGTGTTCCCTTTATTTTTTTGAGCAGTGTATTAATGTAAGCCTACATAAAGTATCAAAAGTAAAAAGTACTTATTATCCACAAAGTGTGTAACACTGAAGTTTTATCACCTATGCATTAACATGTAGGCTACCTAAATAGCATTTTCATGTTAATTTATCAAGGTGGAGCTGATTTAACTATTTTATATGGGGGTCTTATTGTGTCTTTATCTTCATTTTACAAAATCAACTAATAATAAGTCACTAACTCCTTTTAAGTATTTTTCCATGAATACTGTAAATTAGAAATGGATGTGAGAATCAAGTTAACAGGTTGAATTTGTCTCACCGAAATGGAACATTTTCCACATTTTTTGCAGTGTTTGCACAATGATATATGTTAATCTACAAAGATAAATGTAGAGGAGTAAAAAGTACAATATTTATCTCTGAAATGTGGTGGAGTAATAGTATGAAGTAGCACAAAAGGAAAACTCTTAAGTGAAGTACAGGTACCTGAAAACTGTACTGAAGTGCAGTACTTCAGTAAACATACATAGTGACTAGAGTGTTTCTAGTCAGTATTTCACTTTAATGTTCAAAATTTTTACACAGTAATTTGCAGGCTGTAATCTGAAGCATCTCCAATTACTTCACTAAAACATCTGTCAGAGACTTTATTCTCATTTCCTTCTACATTCAGATGCCATAGTTCAATATAAATGTCTACACCCAAAGCCACCAAAAGTCCTTGTACACACAAGCATAAATCTTCTGCTTTTATATATTTGAAAAGATCTGACACATTTTCTCACCAAGGGTCCGACTGTATTGTGAAAGTGACAACAACCCTGCCATCATCAAAATGACTTTATACTTAATTAACAAAAGATGACAACTATTACTACTACTACTTATAAAAATAATAATAACAAGAAACATAACAAAAACATTACATTTTGCATGATGAGACCTCCTATTTTTCGTGCATAAAATCAAGGCACATAGATACATAGATCATCATTAGAGCAAATCTCAGGTCACATTCAACTTCCTGCAATTTCATGTAAGCCCTGTTTTTGCTTGGAGCCTCTCAGTAGGTCAGTAGAGGTAGGAAGTGGAACGGGTCCCTCCATCTCCAAAACTCCTTGGGGCTGGGAGGTCTGCCTATCACCCACACTCAGCGGGGAGCTAAAGGCAGAGGGCTTGGAGAAAGTTGAAGGAGTCAGCGGATCCTGTTTCACAACAGGTTTGGAGGGGAGTGACGTGTATGAGGTGACAGGAGGGCCATCTGGTTTAGAGTTGTTGTCACTGGGGGCGGAAACTCAACAACCGCCTGAGCCTGAGGCCCCAGTGCCTTTCATCACCGAATAAGAAAGAAAAAGACAAAGACAAAGAAGAACAACAAGAAGAAGTCTGGTTTGTCAGAAGTAAGAAGATAAGTGACATTTGGACAAATGATCTGTATTTGTATAGCGCCTTCTTTGCGACCACTCAAAGCACTTTACACTACATCACATTCACCCATTAACGCTAAGTTGTAACTACCCAACAGAAAGGAAACAACATTCATTCACATACACACACTGATGGCACAGCCAACAGGAGCAATTTGGGGTTCAGTGTCTTACCCAAGGACACTTCAACAAGCAGGCAGGGGGATCCGGGGATCGAATCCCTTGTGCCAAGGAAACCCCACAAATGCAGGACCACAGGTAATATTTAGCACAAGAGCCGACAGAGCGTGTTGGCCACCGTAGCTTTAAGGTAGGTGGAGTTGGGTTGAGGAGACAGGAGGACTGAATATATCAGATGGTAGAGGAGGCCATGACATACATGGGCCATAATCTGATGCTATTCACATTTTATGAGCAATTTGCCTTCTTCTTCTTCTTGTCCTTCTTATTTTTCTTGTTATTGTCACTGGAACTGTCAAATGAACTTGAGCTGGAGTCCTGCTCAAATATAAAGCATTCAACACTCAAACATTTATCATTTGTGAAACAAAAAATTAGCATAAATCACACCCTAATATACCGTCTTTTTCTCCTTCCTATCGTTTTCTTCTTCTTCTTCTTCTTCTTCTTCTTCTTCTTCTTGTCATCTTCACTCTCAATGGAGGAGGAAGAGCTGGAATCCTGTAAAGGTAGAGAGCTGAGAATGATTTAATCACATTAAACAACACGATTACAAAAAAATGCATATACACAAGAGTGAAGACACAAACCTTATCCCTTGTTTTCTTTGTCTGAAAACCTGCTTCTGACAAGACACCGTCCACTGTGTGTGTGTACGTGTGTGTGTCTATGGTACAGTGGAAACACTTTTTTTTGTCCTGACACCAGGCTCTAGGAATTACTGGCATTTTGTAGATTTTTTTCTGCTCTGCTTTGCTATTTTTCTGATAAAGATTTGGACGTTATGTGATTTCAGGGAACTCATTCATTTTTAAAGTACAGCTATTTAACATCCTGATAGTGCATTTTAAATATTTTTATTCATTAGCCGACATCATATTTGCATGAATATACTTTCATGTTGCTCATTTATTGATGGTTGCCTTTCTATGAACTACAGGAAACCTCCTATAGCATTCATAGGAACCTACTTAACATATGCCATAGAAAGGTCTCTTTTCAATATTTCATGTAGGCTATAGCTATAATATTACAACAAACAGTCAAGTAAATTATAATAAACTCAAACCTGCATGCACCAAGAAGTAATATTAGGTCAACAAACTTGCTGTTTAGGACCACACACTCCAAATCCAATTCCCCAAAGGAGAATTCTAGGAATCCAGGCTATCCATAGATCCGAGTTATGAAACTTGAACACTGAACACTGGTTCGTGACTGTTCAGTGGTTCAAATATTCGGGGGGGGAAAAGAACAGAATTTCTATCCAAAGGGCAGTCGTCTCTCCTTCGGGCGCTTTCTAAAAACCTGCCCACTGTCACAACATGGCCATGAGGTGGCGAAAGTTTCAGTCCGTCAGTCAGGGGGGATTTCATGTGTGATCTCTGCACTGATAATAAAATAAAGAGAAATGCTTAAGTTCTTTGAATAAACAATCCAGCTTAAAACGTGAGTCTCCTTTGCTTCATGGTTACACCACTTTACTCCACTCTGCATCCAATCCTACAGTAGAAATACCGGAAGGTGTTCAGCCTTAGAAAACAGGCATACCATCAATGGGGCTGCCAGAAACTCTCCAAAGTGTGCTTTTATTTTCCAGGTAAAATCCACCTGGCTTCCTGTTGTAGTTTGCGCTCAGCAGAGGATGATTGAGATGAGCTCGAGCTCTGCTTTTGCTGGAAGACCGCTGACGCCAGTGCAGAGAGAGAGACGTTCGTGCCCTCCTGCGGTGCGATCTCAGAACGACCCACACAATAGAACAGAATAGAACAGAACACAATAGAACAGAATAGAACAGAACACAATAGAACAGAATAGAACAGAACACAATAGAACAGAATAGAACAGAACACAATAGAACAGAATACATTTGGTATTCTGCATACCTAGGCCTAGATACATGACACCTTTTACAGTAAATATAATAATATGTACAGCCTAATACTAAGACTGCATATTTCTGCTAAGTAAGAAACATTTTCATGTTCTGCCATGATGATGCTAGCATTCATCACCCTCTTTGATTGCTTGATATCAGGACCTGCGTTCTGAGTAAGGTAACTATGGGCACACAGTGAGTTCTTCACTCTGTCTGTCACACACGAAGGGCAACAAGAGCAGCAGATACACTGTATGTAAGTGTCACCTCTCTGTGTGTGAAAGACATTAAAATGCACAATGCTTCTTCTGAATATTTTGATGACATTGTCTTATTTTACAGGGAACAAAGTTCCCATTATGAAAGACTGTAAGAATAGTAAGTCTTTATAGAATTCACTACAGTATACAACAGGAAGTTATAGAAATGTAACAGGAAAACAGGAAAAGCTTCTATGTGCTTTGTCTTTGCCATGAAGTAATTCAAAATAAACTACAGTAATGTAATTGTTTGCTCAAAAAACAAAACAAAAGACACACCTCATGTTAGTCCACTCGGTCTCTTGCGTTTGGCCACGTTTTCGACCACATTCATACCTACAGTAATGTTCTCCCTTGCCTTCAATGGTGTGTTTGTAATTTTGCGAACTGCAGTCCATTTGAATGTATGTTAGATTTTGAACTTCAATTTAACAGTTTTGAAAAGACTATGTAAGCATTTGCAAAATGTGATGTGGATCCACATGGTTTTGATGGTGGTTGACTTTGAGTGAGAATTCTTGAATTGCTATTTGTATCAGCTTTAGTTAATCTGTTTGAAAATACTGTTCTTCAAAACAATTTATGTTTTTATAGCAACTGATCAAGAATATCTTCTTGCAAATCATCCATTGATTTCTCCCTTCAGTATTACAGGTTCAAATCAAATAAAGGTTTGAACCTGATGGATGGGTTACATTGGGTTTCTTCAGCAGCCACCGAACGATGCAGGCTTGATTTATTATTCATTTCTTTCTGAAACAGCTCCATTTTTCTTTTTTCTGCTCCCCCATAAAAGATTCAAAAGACCTGAAGGAGATCCCCAATGCTAAATGTTGCAATTGTCTTCTCCTTAAAATTCTGGCCAGAGTTCAGGATAACTTGAATATTGATGTCAGGTAAACGGGTAATTCTAAAACATTATTTTTACTTCTATTTACTTATTTTTCCTATTCCTATTTCATTTCAGAAGAAAATGTACTCTTTACTCTGCTATATTTATCTAGCTGATATAGTTACTAATTACTTTACAGATTAAGATATTATCTTCAAAATATAATATTTTGTTAAATATGATGCACTTTTGCAAAATAAAGTTTGTATTTGTATGTGCATTACTTCACTCTACTTCCACCTGACAAGCTCCAACATTAAAATGCTGCTTATACACCATAATGCATCAGCAATAACAATAAAGTATTACACTTACAAGTTCTTCTTCATAATGAGCACATAATTGATAATAGAAGTTCTGTATTTTTATGTAAAATGTAAATACAGAACCTTTAGTTGAAAGTTCAGTATTTTCACACTGTGGTATTTCTACTTTTACTTAAGGAAAAGAACTATATATCTTTTCTTATATCTTTTTTTATAGAATCTATTTCGGTAATTTCAGCAATATTGATTACAATCAATTACAATGAGAAACAACAACACCGTCTATATGTTTTGTATTAATAAAATCTAAATATCAAAAAATCTTCTACTTGGACTTTAAAGTTTGATTGACCTCTAACATGGATAACGCTGCCATCTTGTGGTGAAGAAAACACCCTTCACTTGACAGAAGTGAAATCCTGCAGGCATTTTGTTTGTTGTTACAACATTTAATTCTTGTAATCAGATTTGTTTACACAAGCAACATATTTCTGTGACACCAGTGAAAGAACATGAAGAGAAGTTGGCGCTACTGCACACTCGCCACACACACACTTTGGCAATGGACAAGATCATAAGAGACTAACAGAGCACTCCGGTCCCCCAGGAAGCATCACTTCTGAAATGACAAAAAGGACACAGCTATTACTGCAGAAGGGATACATTATTTATTAAAGAAAATCTTGAGTGCCATGGCTCTTTCTCTATCTTTAATATATGAATCGTTGTGGCAGCAGCGTGAGCCGTAACAAGCACCAAAATGGTGATCGGTGATTAGACAACAACAACTCTTTTATGACTGCCATATCTTTCTCTTCTCTCCCACTGGGCTTGGTCCTTTGCTCTTTTGCTTTAGTCAGTTGAATGGGAAACCGATTATTCACACAAATGTGACCGACATTTTTCCTCTGAATAAACCTGCAACATAGTTAAACAAATTTAGCACGAAGGTGAAGAGATAGGAGATGTTGCTCTGAGATTGGCTCCAGGTTAACAAGCTAAAAATTGATCTGGAAGACAGTCAAGTCACTTGACAACAGTTTGAGCTATAAATGAAAACAGCATACACACCACAGGAGGGTGTGGTGTGTCAGATTAAAACTGGCACTGCTGGTAGGATCTGATAATCTTGCAGAGTGGTGCACAGAGAAAAACCTATTCTCAACGTCAGCAAAAGTAAGGAGCTGATCACTGATTTTAGGAAGGAGATAAAGACACAGACTCCTGTCTACTACAGTGGAGCTGAGGTGGAGCAGGTGAACAGTTTCAGGTTCCTGAGAATCAGCATCACAGAGAACCTGATTTGTCAGGTTCTCCACGCTGGTGAAAAAAAACAACCAAAAAAACAACTGTATTTCTTGAGGAAGCTTAAGGCCAAATTCCCATGCCAAGTTCTTGTCAGCTTTTACAGAGGAACAATAGAAAGCATCCCGACTGGAAACATCAGAAACTGGCATGGGATGTGCACGGTCCAGGACCGGAAGGCTCTGCAGCGGATGATACATGAACTGTTCAGAAGATCATTGGTACCCATCTCCTGAGCATCAGTGATATCGATGAGGTGAGGTGCCTATGCAGAGCCCAAAGGATACTAAAGGACAGTACCCACCCAGCCACAGCCTGTTCACCCTGCTGCCTTCTGGGAAGAGATATAGAAGTTTCTGCTGCTGCACCACCAGACTGCAGAGCAGCTTTCCCCCCAAGCTATCAGAATCTTCATCCTCAGCACTGCTCCAGTGATATAGTGAATAGTTTATTTCTGTTTACCATTTTTCACAATTGATTCTTTATCAATTTCATTACATAAACTGTTATATTGTGACAATAAATGTACCTACCTACCTAGCTACCTGTTGTGGATGTTCAACACACAGCAACCTTTGAAACGAGGTGTGATAGGTATGTCACCTATGGAGCTGCATTTTATTGCAGGCTGCTATCAAGGCGTCTTGAGAAATATAAAGTACAGTGTAGTGTAATGTGGCAACACTTTCACAAACATTGCCCTGAGGTGTAATAAATTGTCTCTGGGTGTGCCAAAATGTACTAAACACCCAACATAGCAAGGCCCTAGCTCACTAGCGCAAAGCTATTTTATATAAAATCTCCCAAGAGATCTCTAACAAGTAACTGCAGCCTTGAGCCTACCTCATCATCGCTGGAGGATGAAGATGAGGAGCCTGATTCTTTTCCCTCCTTGTGTCCCTTTTTCTCCTTGTGCTTCTTCTTGTCCTTCTTGTCGTCTTTACCTTTGTCCTTTGACTTGTGCTTTTTGTCGGACTTGTCTTTACTACCGGACTTGTCCTTGCAGTCAGACTTGTCCTTACTTCCAGACTTGTTTTTGCTGTCGGACTTGCCCTTGCAGTCCCCCTAAAAGAAAATGACAGCCCATTGATTGTGTTGGTTAAGTTGTGAGGATTGTGTCTGTCCAGCAATCATTATTAATCAATATATTTTAAGGATTTACTGGAGAAGTAACTCTTTATATCAGTCTCCCTGGACAAAAGCCACTTGGCCTTGCAATCACAAAACAGCTATAATTGCAACTAGAATCATTCCACAAAAGACAATTTTGCCAAATTCAACTTCTCAGAAAAGCTCTTATGGTTGTTTGCTCTTATGCTTCCGCTCATTGAGTTGAACGAGCATCTTTGTTAGAATGTAGACATACAAAGCTCCTACCTTGTCCTTATTCTTTCTTAAACTTAACTCATCCTTCTGAGCCTCGTCCTTCTTCACCACATCGTCATCCCCACCTAAAGCTGCACACAAGCAGAAGAGACAGATGGTGAGCAGGTTAGAATATCAGAATTACTGTCACCAAGAACAAAAGTAGCCTCTTTACACAACAGACATGGCCTAGACTGTCTTTGTTTACACATTGTGGTTTTATATAGGCCTATAAATATATTAAATATATTGTATAGCCTATTTATTTAAGCTGCCAGGTGCAAAACCTGCCTTAAAATGCTTTTCCTTTTCAGTTCCACTTACCAAGACTTAAAAAAATGTTGTTGAAGTCAACACATCAAACATTAACATTCACGGTATTCCTACCTAATATAGTCAACATTAATTGAGCCTACCTGACTCCAGATTGAAGTCCATTGTGACTCCTCTGCTTTCTCAAACAAGTTACCACAGAGGAACCCGCACATGCAGGGAATACAGGCAGGAAACCTGCACCTAAACCACGTGACCTACCCTAACCACGCCCCCAGACGCCGCCTCTGGATTAAACATTCAAGTTTGTGTCATGTAAATTCCTTGACCGCAAGGCGGCTACTTTCGAGTGCAGGAAGTGCCGGAAAATATGGTATTTGGTCGTTGTGTTAAAGAGGCATTTAGAAATAGCCTAAATGACACAAGCGGCTGGCCCGGCCTTTCTGTGAGGAGTTTGCATGTTGTCCCCGTGTCTGCGTGGGTTTTCTCCGGGTGCTCCTGCTTTCCGCCCACATACCAAAGACATGCGGCCTAGGTTGATTGGTGACCCTAATTGTCCTTAGGTGTGACTGGTTGTTTGCGATGGATTGGCGACCTGGCCAGGATGTACCCCGCCTTTCGTCCGATGTGGAAAGGCGGGCTCCAGCCCCCCGCGACCCTGTAGGCCTACACAGGACAAGCGGTTGACGATGGATGGATGGAGACTAGTATTGGTGTAGGTCGGGAAAAAAAGAGAAGAAAAACAGTGTAGATATTTCAATGAAATTAGCTGTGATCAGTGGTGAATGAATACTGAAAATACTCCACTACAAGAAAAAGTCATGCATTTAATGTTAATGATTAATTAAAGTATCAAAGTGGTCATTATGCAGAACGTGTTTTAATGTTGACATTTTATCATTTATGCCATAACATGCAGGCTAAATACCATTTTAATGTCAATCTCCATCTTAAAAAGTTTAAAAAGCTTAGTTTAATTAGTTATTGAGTCCTAAACATGGGTGTGGAAATCTTAGAAGAATGAAGGAAAAGGACACTGTATTCAAGAAAATTAATAAAAGTACATTATTTCTCTCTGGGCAGAAGCATAAAGTAGCAGGGAATCAAGTGAAGTACAAGTAGCTACAAATTGTACTGAAGTGCAGTACTTCAGTAAATGTAGGACTACATAGTGAATTCCCACCACTGGTTGTGATATCATTTATTTTAAAAATAAAAAGCTAAAATATGCTCTTAGGGAAATTACAATGTTCACATTTTTAAATATGGAGTATTTTTATTATTATTAATGTAGTGTTGTTATTGCTGTTGCAATAGGATATTAAAAAAAGGGAGAAGGATGTACCTATATAGCTGTAGTATCCTGTAGTTGTATACAACTATGTGGTAGCTTGGATGGATGATATAATGGGCAGCAGTGTGAACTGGGTACCAACGTAGGATGCATCAATGAAAACAAACCTTGAACAGCTTGTGTGTCATGTCATTCATCATCACAGGCTGTAAAATAAAGCAGCCCCTTGTTCACCTCTTTGCATTGTAAGTACATTGTAGTAACAGTAGCTGGTATGTACAAAATATTTTCACTGTAATTTGCGGATTGTTATTTAAAGCATCACTAATGACTTTACTAGAACATCTGTCAGAGACTTTATTCTGATTTCCCTCTACATTCAGATGCCACAGCTCAATATAAATGTCTACATCCAAAGCCACCAAATGGCTATGGTGGCAATGTTGTTAGTTCCTGCTCTGGTGCTTCAGAACCTGATGTAAAATTCACATTTACCCTAGTGAGTATCGGGATTGTGCTGATGGCAAATTTCTCATTCATCTTCATCAGTCCAGGAAGGCCTTGCACACACAAGCATAAATCTTATGCTTTTATATATTTGAAAATATTTGATACACTTTCTCAACAAGGGTCCGACTGTATTGTGAAAGTGACAACAAGCCTGCCATCATCAAAATGACTTTATACTTAATTAACAAAAGATGACAACTATTACTACTACTACTTGTAAAAATAACAGGAAACAAAACAAAATCATGTTGTTTTATTCCACAAAGCAAGCATTATATTCATTATTTCACGTGATTGTAAATTTCCATCCACAAATGAGCTTTTTCTTACTAATTACAAAAAATTATAAAATCATTATTGTTTTATTATGGTTTTATCTAATCTTCCTCAACTTTTTCATCATGTCACAATTAATCTTTACCCTGTTACCTATATTCCACCTGAAAATACGCCAAAAACATATTTTATGCACTGAGATCATCATTAGAGCAGATCTCAGGTCACATTCAACTTCCAGCAATGCCATGAAAGCCATGCTTTTTTTTAAATCAGTAACATCTATTTTGATCTATGACACCTTATTATTGGTAAGGCTTGGAGCCTCTCAGTAGGTCAGTAGAGGTGAAGTGGGAAGTAGAACGGGTCCCTCCATCTCCATAACTCCTTGAGCTCACCATCAGGGACTCCATGGGGCTGGGAGGTCTGCGAATGAGGGGCCTATCACCCACACTCAGTGGTGAGCCAAAGGCAGAGGGCTTGGAGAAAGTTGAAGGAGTCAGCGGATCCAGCTTCACAACGGGTTTGGACGGGAGTGACGCATATGAGGTGACAGGAGGGCCATCTAGCTTAGAGCTGCTGCCACTGGGGGTGAATCGTCCGCCACCACCTGACCCTGAAACTTCCATTTTTGGCTCACCGCTTTTCTCACCATCTGGGCTTTCCTGGAATTAAATCAACAAGGCAGCAGTTTACTCAGCTGGAGGAAGTATCAGCTTGGCCCAAGAATGGATCATGTATTTCTAATCACCCATACTTTCTTCACTTAATTTATGTTAAGAGCAAACTTACGATCTTTTTCTCCATTCCATTTTCACTTCCTGATGAGCCTGGACTCTGAAGGCCAAACAGGAAACCAATAAGATTCAGTCATTTCACTTTCACGTTGTTGCAGTTAATTCAAAGAGGGACCCCAGGGCAGAACACAGACTTAGAGGAAGGTGAATGTTACAAGATTTATTGAATAATTATGGTAGCTGGAGATGAGTTGAGGAGACAGGAGGGCTGACAGATGATAGAGGAGAAATGGGGAATGGTAGCAGGAGCCCATGACACACATGGGACATAAACTGATGCTATTCACATATTATGAGCAAAATACCTTTTCCTTCTTCTTGTCCTTCTTATTTTCCTTGTCACTGTCACTGTCAGATGAACTCGATGAACTAGAGCTCGAGTCCTGTTCAAATATAAAGCACTCAACACTCCATCATCTATATTTTTTGAAACAAAGATGAGCATAATTCACACCCAAATTTACCTTCTTTTTCCCCTTCATCTTTTTCTTCTTCTTGTCTTTCTTCTTTTTCTTGTCTTTCTTCTTCTTCTTTTTCTTCTTCTTGTCATCTTCACTGCTAGAAGAATCTGAGTGCTTGGTGGATGTAAATATGGTAACTGTGTTACTGTTATGCTATTTTTCCCCCATCTTAATATGACAGGAAATAGCACTTACAAATATATTTAGCAGGAGGCGTCCTGTGTGACAAATACAACACATCCACATTGCTTTACCTTTTTCTTGTCTTTCTTTTTCTTCTTTTTCTTATCTTTTTTCCTCATCTTTTTCTTCTTCTTATCGTCATCGCTAGAAGAATCACTGGAGGAGTCAGAAGAAGAATCCTGCACAGAAAAAGAAATAATGATTATGCACATCACATTTCATTCATACAGTAGAAAATTTGCAGTGGTGACATATCCTTCTGTTACGACAGTGACAAGCTGCTCCATTTTCCCATTTTCAGACGTTTGAACATGTTGGAGTTTGTGGTTGACTTTAAATCTTTAATCTTTTTGGACATTTCTGTCAATTTTGTCAGAAAAAAACAAAAACCTGGAATGGAAAACAAAGGATGAGATGTTCTCACCTTCTTCTTCTTCTTATCCTTTTTCTTATCTGTCTTTTTCTTCTTTTTCTAAAGTAAAAAAAAAGTGCCCATGACGAATTGTGCAGCCGTGTATCTCTCTTAACTTTGTAAACTTGGGTGCAGATGAATAATTTTAATTAACTACAGAACATTATATTTGTGTGTGTGTCATTTCACCTTGTCACCATCGCTGTCAGAGGAAGAGGAGCTTTCATCAGAAGAGCTGGACTTCTAGAAAGTACAGTCAGTCAGTAACAGAAGTGCATCCTTTATTGAATTTTTTATTTTCACTGGTTAGTCACATAAACTGCTACTTTCATCTGATCTGTTTATGAGCATTAGGATTGCAACATTAGCAAAAGAGCAACAGTGGAAAGGGAACATCATGACAACACAACAACATCTTTTACCTTCTTCTTCTTTTTCTTTTTCTTCTTCTTCTTCTTGTCATCTTCACTATCAGAGGACGAGGAAGAGCTGGAATCCTGTAAACAAAATACGAAACAGCAAGGTGAGAATGAAGTAATCAGATTAAACAGCAAAAGAACATGTAATGTGCAGTTTGAAGTGTGAAGACACAAACCTTGTCCTTCTTCTTCTTCATCTTCTTTTTCTTCTTCTTCTTCTTCTTCTTGTCATCTTCACTATCAGAGGAGGAGGAAGAGCTGGAATCCTGTAAAGAAAAAGAGCCGAGAGTGACGTAATTACATTAAGCAGCACAAGTACAAAAAATGTCACATACAGAAAGTGTGAAGACACAAACCTTATCCTTCTTCTTCTTTGTCTTCTTTTTCTTCTTCTTCTTCTTGTCATCTTCGCTATCAGAGGAGGAGGAAGAGCTGGGATCCTGCAAAGATGTGAATGAAGCTTTTAGATTACATAGAAAGAGAACAAAAAATGTAATATGCAGAAGTGTGAAGACACAAACCTTCTTCTTCTTCACCTTCTTCTTCTTTTTCTTCTTGTCATCTTCACTGTCTGAAGAGGAGCTATCAGATGAACAGGAGCTGCAGGGAGAGTCCTATGAATGAAACACAAATATTCACATTGATATCCACAAACATGATAATTGTATTAGACGGACACACACACATTCACACACTTATGGACAATTTTGAGTTTTCAATTCACCTAGCCTGCACACAGACCTTTCTGAATCTGTTATAGAAGAATATAGTAAATTCACCATCCACGGCTCCACCTAATTAAAAAATGTGAACATGCAATATACAATACTGTTTACTTGTTTGATGCAATGTAACGCAAAAATTGCACCTATTTCCCACAGTGCTTTGTATACCTTTTCTTTCTTCTTTTTTCTTTTCTTCTTGTCTTTTTTGTCACCATCACTATCTGAAGATGAGCCAGAATCCTGTTGAAAAACACAGAACATGTTGCCTTTTGATCTTGATTATCCTGCAACATAACTATATTATGTAGTAAACGCTGCATCAGTACACGCTATGTTGGTGATAATGCACTATAACAATTGTCATGCACATTAAAAAAGATTCTTCATTTTACCTTTTTCTTCTTCTTCAACTTCTTCTTTTTCTTATCCTTTTCCCCCTCTCCTTCTCCCTCGTCATCACTCAGGTGGCCTTCCTCAATACCATGAGGAAAGGCATGTGCCCCCCCTGCTGGACAGGAAACCTCATTACAACCAAAACAACAACCCATTCTCCGAGCCTCCAACCCATGTCTGATTTGTTAGAGAGCAGCAGACATACCAGCCAGACCAGAGTTTTTGCACAGTTCACCTTCCTCTGTTGCTTTAAGCTCTTTCTTGGCCTGTCGTGACAAAGGGAAGCAATGATTTTCTGTGCATTTGTGCATGTACATATGTGTGGCACCCAAACAGTCAGCGCAAGTATTTCACCTTGTCATCTTGGTCTTTCTTTTTGTCTCCATCAGCACCTGGTATCAAAATCTCAGCACCTGCAGAAAAGGAGAGCAGTTCAGCATCAACCTTGTTGCGTTGTTATGGTTATTCTGTCTTTTTTTTTAAGTCATGAAAAAGTGGAAACACTCACCAGCTGCTGAAAGAGCAGTAGCCCTGCTGGGCTCATTCTGCTCTTCATCCTGTAAAAAACATGAACATGATCTGTATAGTCCCTTACAAATCTATATACTGTATGCATAGAGCTATACAAAACCTGCACACACAAAAACACACACTTACTTATTAATATAGCTGATGCTTTTATCCTAAGTGACTTACAATTGCTAAATATGTCAGGTCGCACACCTCTGGAGCAACTAGGGGTTAAATAACTTGATTAGGGGCACAATGGTGTCTCACAGTGGATTCAAACCCAGGTCTCTCACACCAAAGGCATGTGTCTTATCCAGTGTGCCATCACCATCACTTGTTGATAAACCAACAACAAATCTGAGTCTACAGACTCATTCATATCTCTGTGATGGAATCCAATTTGAATCAAGCTGACAAACAATATGAGGCGGGGTGTAAAGACAGTGTGGTAACTATGTGTCTTCTCATGCCATTCTCTTACAGGTATAGAACCTACTGCTCATTTTCTCAGACGGTATGCGCACTGTTAGGTAATCCAGTTTGCTATTTATAACAAAGAGAACACATGTTACTCTACAGTGGTGCATTAATAAATGGGATTTAACCCTGATACTGTTCACTTAGTTCACTTACTTGGTGCATAATGAAAAAAAAACTCCACTGTATGCAGAAAAACAAAATTGTCACCTGACACAGCATTCTTACAATAAGAGAAATGCCTTGTGAGAATCACATGATGAGCAGCTTCGCCCCTGACCTGAAAACAAACTAAATCATGTATCCACATTGCTTTACCCTTTTTTTGTGTTTCTTCTTCTTCTTGTCCTTTGTCTTCTTTTTCTTTTTCTTCCTGTCATCCTCGCTGTCAGAAGAGGATGATGAAGAGGAGCTGGAGTCCTGTGAAAGAAGAACAAACAAAACAATTGTGATCGTTTGTATTGACACAGAGACAGTTGACAACCAAGATAGTCACTGCATAATATTGTAACTGCATAGTGTCAATTTTTTTTTTCTTTAAATCACACCTTCTTCTTCTTCTTCTTCTTCTTTTTCTTCATCTTTTTCTTTTTCTTCTTCTTCTTTTCATCCTCACTGTCAGAGGATGAACTGTCAGATGAGGAAGCGGACGAACCCTGTGCAATATTCAGAAACATAAAGGTGAAAAGTGTGATTCACATTAATGTGTATTTATTTAGTGACATACTAGTCCAATAAGACAGTTAGTTATTGTTGTTTAATCTGCTGTTTTTCAGACATTTTGACATACCTTCTTCTTCTTTTTCTTTTTCTTCTTGTCCTTCTTCTTCTTCTTCATTTTCCCTTTCTTCTTGTCATTTTCATCATCTGACACTTTAAAACCCTGCAGCAAGAAAAGGAAAGAAATCCTATAATGACAGTTTTAACAGCAACAGCTGGTTTAAAACGGGAGGTCGCTTGGTTTCTCTCTCACCTGGCTCATCTTCAGGCCTTCTACACACTGATGTTCCATTTGGCCATCGGGACCTGAAAACATTAAACGCATTAAACTGTAAAGAATTTGCTTAAAAAATTTAATCTTAATCAATGCTGCTGATAAAGGGGGAATTTAGAGCCAATCGTGCAGTTCTGAATATTATTCATTGTAATTCTGTCAAATCTAAGTGATGAGGTTTTCATGAGCTGCTGTAACCAGAGATTTATGAGCTTTACTATTGTATAAAAGAATGGGAGATAATAAATATCACAATGTGTCCCAACTGGTGGCCCTGTTTCGTTGGCTCGATCCTTATTATTTCCACCTGTGTCTCGTTAATCACCTCCCTCTTTTTCTCCCATTGTCTGTTGTCGACTTGTCTTTGTTCTTTGTCAAGTGTTTCTACCTGTCTCCCGTGCCTGTGTTATTGGATATATTATGGAGTCCGCACTTTGGATTATTTCCTGCACCAGTTTTGATTTGTTTGCTTTGTTTTGGACTGCCTCTTTATTATGTAAGCCTGTTTACCTTTGAGGTTTCTTAATAAAGACTAAACACACACACACTGTTGCACCTGTGCGTTTGGGTCCAAATTCTTTTGCTACTGTGTCTGCTCTTGGCAAAACGTGACAGAACATCTGACCATTATGGACCCACTCGAACTCGAACTTGATCTCCTTCTTTTTTCCTGATCTGGCTTATATTCAGTTCGAAGACTGCCTTTTGTACTCTATGGCACACCAGAAGGTATCTTCCAAGCCCTGGCTGAGGGACTTGATTCCTGAGTGGGTGACAAACTTTATTAACACCCCAACACACCAAGTCTCCAGCCTGTTACATACCAGTCTGCACTCTGGCCTGCCAATAATCTGCCTTCATCCCAGCCTGCTAGAACTGCCCTCTTGCTGGACTCCGGCCCCGCACCCCAGCAATTTTAGGCTCCGGTCTTGCTCTTCAGTTACACTGACTGCCTCCTACCCGACCTCCAGAGGCTTTCGCCTCCTGATTGCCCATCTTTTCTGCCCTCAGGCTTCCCACTTGAGGTCTAAAGCTCCTCTTCAAACCTGTCTCCAGGCTGCCTGCCAGAGGTCTCAAGCTCCTCTTCTTTCCTTTTCCTCTTGTTGGAACCATTATGGACTCTGCACTTTGGATTATTGCCTGCACCAGTTTGGATTTGTTTGCTTTGTTTTGGACTGTAGCCTGCCTCTACATCACCTGTTCACCTTTGAGGTTTCTTAATAAACACTATAAACTGCATGTGTTCCCTTCTGTGTGTTCTGCGCTTGGGTCCAAATCCCTTTAATCCTTTGTCTGCGCTTGGCAAAACATGACAATGACTATATTATAATGGTCACACACAGCAGCTGGAGATGTGTGTGACCATTATAAAATCTACTGCACTTCCTGGTCCAGGTCTAGAGGATACCACAACAGAGTGTAATGTTGATGGTAAATTAACAATATGTTTTTGGTTAGGACACATCTTAGTCGTTAAGTTTCCTGATTTTTTGATACTATCTTTTTATCTCTGTTGGAAAATTAAATTGTAGCCGACTAATTTTACCCGACAGCTCCAATGGTAACTGATGAATGCCAACCGATGTCCTTTGTTGATGTGAAATCTGCTCCACCTCCACCAATTGATCCTGCTTTGTGGTAATCAAATCTCTCTGACCAAGTAAGGACCAAGGACTTGGTTTGAAGAGGTCCTATATTTTAATATATTGCTGATTGAACCTGTTGAATCTTGTATTTGCACAAAGTATTTGAATTCTAGTATTTGTATCTTGTATTGACCCTTCATGACCACTAAGCAATTACATTTATTGTGTACAGCAGTGAATTGTTGTATCAAAGTTGTTGCACTTTACATTGGTAGATTTTCATGATGTGCCCGAATTATTATCTTGATGCAGAGATAATCCTGTAAAAATGTACAGCAGAATGCTTTGTAGAATCTTTTATCTTTCTGCTACAGTTAATGCCGTTTTAAAATTTTCAGTAAGCAAACAGTAAGCATTCAGACAAAAACAAAATAAAAGTAAAAATGACAAGTGCAGATGTATGAGTGAGTGAGTGAATGATGATTTCAGTGAGTTTATTAAATTATCAGTAAAAGAGCAGCCTATTGTGTTGCTAGGGCTGACTGACCCTGTCGATGCTAAAATTTAATTAACAAAAAATAAATAAATTGCTTCTGTGTCTCTCTGTGACAGACAATACTTGTATTACAAATATATAATTGCAGAGTAATCTCAGGAGATAATATTTATAATAATACAATAAAATATTTTAAGTAAAACAGCAGCAGAATAGATGGAACTGAACTTTTTGCAAAGAATTTTTGAATACAAGCGTACTTAGCACACAATATCACATGGGGAGAATGCACAGAATTTAGAAAGGCATTACCCCCAAGAGATTTATATCAAAAGCCATCTAAAAACATATTAACAAATGCTGTGTTTTACCTACCAGCCTGAGATATAACACTGTCCCAGCCATACTCCTTCTCCTCACCCTTCTTCTTCTCCTTCTTCTTCTTGTCATCCTGTAGGCAATGTTGATTTTTTTCATAAGTGTGTAAAAACAGTATGTGTGCTTGTGCGTGAAGCTTTTTTGCAAAGTGAGTGTTACATTTGCTTAATAAAGTAGAAATGAAGAAAGTCATCAGAGTTGGGTGTTGCCTACTAGTCATGTAACCATGCATGTAAGGCTGCACACACACATTTGTGACGTCTGGGGCGTTCCCATTCCATAACTAAAACTACAAAGATCACTTGCTGTGGTAGGTACATAAGGTGTTTCACACATTGGGTGTGTTCCTCTCCTGTCAGATACCGCCTGATATCAAATCCAGGACATTAGACACTCGGCCTTGACCTCAGGGTGTATTGTGTGTAACTGGAAATGTATACCAGTGTTTGGAGCTATTTCAAAAGCTGAAACTGTTGAAAAAGCTCAGTTTTTAGATTTTTAAATGCAGTCAATTTGGCTGTCATTTCACCATAAATATTCTCTTAACAGGCTGTATTGTTTGCTTTGACTGTATCTTCACCTGAGGCAGTAACATAGTTAGAAGGGACTCTCAATCCCCCATGAGCTGATTTGAAATTGTTTGTATGTGTGGAAAAAAGGACTAAATTTAGCAATGCTGCATGAAAGATTACTGGAGGATTTACATAAACAAAACCATCAGTTCTACAGTCTCTGAGAGCTGTACATCTAACGTCTGGTCCTTGAATAATTAGCTCAGGCCAGACTCTGTTGGATTCAAAGGTGTGTGAAGAGGGCAACTACTGTGTGGCTTGTTACAGTAAGACAGGAGTTGCATGGACGCAATTGTCTTCTATACAGCAATGACAACTTACCTCACTGTCACTGTCTGAAGAGCTACTGGAGGAAGAAGATGAAGAAGAAGAGGAGGAGGAGGATGAGCTGGAATCCTGTTGAGAAAGAAGTGGTGAAGTTATTGCTCAACTCAGAGTACACATTGAAAGAGATGTATTTGTTGGTGAAAGTGATGAATGTGAACCTAATAGAATGAGTCACTGCGAACGCCCTGGAGCGAGGCTTTGTTATAGCTGCACATACACACTATGCGGTGAGACAATCATTGCAAAAGTGACATTTGATCTGCATTATAAGCAAATTAATTCCATTCCTTGTTTTATTTAGTTTGACTGGCTGGTGCTTGATGCCGCTCACATTGTACTTCCCTCCTCTGCCAGAGGTCAGACCTCATCATTACTATAGCCTCACGTGTCTCTGTGTCATGTGTCTTCTAAACAATGCAACACCCACATGAAAACACAGGATCAACTGACTGTTGTGTAATAACATCTGATGAGACATGAGGATTCTGTCGTGAAATAGTCTGTCCAAATCTGACCCTAATACTTCATGCAGAGGGTTAAAAAAACACTCAATTATGGTAAAAACAAAACACAAGTGAATAATTCTTGCTTAGTGGTGAAGATTTTTGAGACACCATACCATCTTTTTCCTCTTCTTCTTCAGCTTTTTCTTCTTCTTGTCTTTCTTGCCGATACCCTCATCCTCGCTGTCCGAGGAGGACAAAGACCTGTTGCATGAGTGCAGCTGCCAGTGACAGGCAAAAAAGAGAAAACAAAGTTATCTGCTGTGTTCTTCACAATCTTTCCAATCCAGTCTAGTGGGGATAACAGAGCTGATAAGCGTTACAGTAATCGTTAATGGTCTTTATTTTAATATTAGGCTATTTAGTTATTTTGCAACTTTAGATGCATTTTACATGTATCATTTGTTATCAGCGTCACAAAATATTAACTACTGAGTAATAGACATAACATTTCTTCATTTTTTGGTGAGAGTAATTTGGGTCTGTGCTATTTTGTCAAAACAAACAACTGTGTTTTTCCAATATCTCTCCTGCTCACAAGTCCATCTCCCGTTCCTGCAGGGTGTCCGGGTTGACTCTTGTCTTCCTTTTCTTTGCACAGGTCTGCAGGTTCCGCTACCTCAGGAAGAGGCTGCAAACCACCAGGCGAGGTCGCCGCTGGCTGCTGGACACCTGCGGCACCTGGAGCTAGACAGTACAGGGTGACAGGATTAGAGATGTTTTTCGGGGGGGGGGGGGGGTTATTTATTATTATTATTATTATTATTATTATTATTATTATTATTATTATTATTATTATTATTGTTATTATTATTCAGATAAGTGTCACACACACAAGGAAAAAAGATAAAGTGTTGTTTTGTGTAAACTAATAGTAGTGTAAATTAGTATGAAGCGTATTAGGCCATTGTAGATAAAATAAAATAAAACACGGGGGAATAAGGGAGTCATTTTCGGTGAGAAAATGGTCATAGGGCTACATTTACCAGACAGAACTCTGATGTTCCCTGAGATTGAAGTGGTAAATTTACGACAGAGAAGCTCACACATTTATAAGAAAACAACTAGAATATTCTCTGAGATAATCAAGTCATTAATTTGCTAGAGAAAAAACCCCGGAAAATAGCATTTTTCAGATGTGCTTGTGCTATTAAAGGCTCTATGAAAGCAGCTTCTTTCACCAACCAATATTATGAGATAGCTTACTATATTCTCTTCAAAGACTGAAAGCATCAAAAAGTGGGAAAGAACTGACATTTATAAATGACTAAGATGTGACACATGCTTTCACGTGGCTTGCAGTCCCTCTGCCGTCTGAAAGCTCCACCTCTTCTCTTAAGTCTGCACTGACTCTTGTATTATTAATGACTGCAAAAATAAATTCAGAAAACAATATTTTCCCAAGTTTATTCCTCCTGTTTTTTTCTCTGAATATTATTACACCTTTCCCCCAGCTCCGTATATTTCTCTTACCTACAATTGCCCTAATATGCCATCATATAGGCCTATTAGTCATGGAAACACACCTATAAACAGTTATTGCTTACTGGTTTGTTGTCTGTTGATTAAAATAGACTAGCCAACATCTCATCAAGCCTAAATGCTAAACAAATCATAGTCCAAACATAAACAGCAAACCTTTAAGGAGGGTGGACTCCATTTAGGTCCAGACGTCTCCTCTATCCAGGAACTCAGGCTCCTCTGACAGACACACCTGTGCACTTTTATGACATGTTGTGTGGAGCTAGAGAGTTTTATGGGTGGGGAAACAGGGGAAGTGTCAAGATGGCAAAAATCAGTGAGACTTCCCTTCAAACGTTTCAAAATAAAACCCATGTTAAAATAAATATTTGTCATTACTAAAAATGCACAGGCCATATATTTAACTCTTATCCAACTCCACAGTTTTCATTAATAATTTATGTTTGTTGTGACACAACAAGTGCCAGATTGCACGCTTTTCGTTTTATTTTGAAAGCAACACACCCAGTTTTATTCTGGCTGTTCTGTCTGATTTGTGGGCCTTAATAGAATGGCTGGATTACCTGGATTACCCGGTGACAGGACAATACCCTTTAATAGCCTATCTGCAATGTCTGCATAGGTACACATTCTGGAAGGTATCCTATTGCGGGTAAAGTTTTACCAAGCCTATTAGCCAAAAAATGTCCAGCAAGGAATCCTAGCTCAGGAGTGATTTAGGAAAATTCTCAGAACTCAGCAACTCTGGCAAGAAAGCGACAGAAACTTTACCTTAGGAAGGAGGAGTCCCATGACTCATTGATGTGGGTTGACATGTGGTTGCATATAGAAGGATAGGTTTATAAGAGAGAAAAAAGAAAAGAAAAATGCACTCTATGGGCGGGTTCCTAAAGATCCGGTTCCTGAATCGAACCAATGTGGGGATGATGTTTCAATTTTTCAACTGTTCCGGTTTGCATTCACAAAGTCAAAAACTCAAAAGGTCCGAAACTGTAAACGAAAACCAAGAGGTGGAATTGATTTATTAATTATAATAAAAGAAAAGTGTATGTAATGTATGTATGTAATGTAATTCAAGTCCCAGAAGTCCAGAGTTTCAAAGCCACCTTCATCTTTAGAGCCAGAGAGCAACGCTTTTTTAGATGATGGTGCTTATTCTTACCAAACAAAGTTTGAGAGTATATTTATGTCTTTGCACGTTAAATCATGGACATTGAGAGAGAGAGCAGGGTAAACAAATCTTGAAATCCCTTTTGCTTTAGTCAAGATAATACTGAAATGTCTCTTTGAAGCCATAAGTTCAGTGTTGTTTTAGTCTTCTTCAATTTAGGAGAGAAGTTACGCTGTTGATGTTCTATGTAGTCCCTGCAGATATGAATACCTAGATATTTTAAACATTTCTTAACAGATATAATAAACATTTTCCCCTGTCTGATACAAACATAAAATTTCACATTTAGATGTGTTAAGTTAAGCCGGGAGCAGTTGAAAATTGGTCAATTAGGGATATTCAACCTAATTTGTTCCCTTAGAAAAAGAGCTGTATCATCAGCTAACTGAGTCAATCTAATTTCCTTACCAAACATAGACAAGCCTTTAATAATAGGATTATGTCAAATATGTAATTTAAGTATTTCACCCAGGAACAATAAAGGTGAAATAGGACAGCCCTGCCGATGTGATCGGAGTACAGGAAATCTTTTTTGTGGCATTTGGGTATAATATAACACAACTGTTGATATTTTTTTAACATTTCAACATTAGATATACAAATCTGTCCAAAACCAGATGTTTTGAGTTCTTTGAATAGGAAGTAGTGTTCTACAGTATCAAATGCTTTATAGAAATCAAGAAATACAATCTGTGCGTCTGTACTGATGTGATGAGAATAGTCCAGCTAGTTGATTACAAGTCTTATATTAGAACTTATGTGACGTTTAGACATAAAACCTGTTAGCAAACCACTTAGCAAAAATTAAGGACAAAATTTTGTAATCAGGCCGCCAGTTTTTGGTAAATGGTCTTTATCAGGTTTGGGGATTAGACATATTAAGCCTTGCTTCATACTTGTGGACATTTCCTTTTTTACAGTGCATTCTTATATAATAATTCAAATGAAAGACTTTCAATAATGTCCCAAAAATGTAGGCTAAATTAAATTCAACTGAAAGCCCTTCATTACCTGGAGATTTCCCCCTTTTCACTGAGCAAACAGCCTCTGAAATATCAATTTTTAGGTTCCAGTTTAAAGTGCTCAGATATAACCATAAGTTACAAATAATTCAATGGTTTTTCTTACGATTTAAAACTTTGAAAACCTGAGAAAAGAATTTGGCCTTGAAAAATCTGATTTTTATAGAAATCTTCAGTTACCGAATCATTTTGAACATCACATAACTAAGAATATTTATCAGTACCTATCAAAAGGATTCAAATAGAGATGTTATCTATAGATTTTATAAAGGCCTTATGACAAAAAATCCCACATTACAGAATACAAGAAAAATGGGAAAACAAAGTTAATTTTTCAACACCATATGATGATTGGCTTGATGTGTGCAAGTCCACTGGAAATGCACCAACTCCCATGTGTGGTAGGAGTTTGGGTGGAAGTGTCTTATTTGTTCCCTTATTACATCAAGGAAGAAAGCACATCTTACTGGAAGGGAGGCCAAATGTTGGAGAAAGTGTGGATTTCGGGAAGCCAATCACTGGAAAATATTTTGGGAGTGTCCAGTGATAAGACCCTTCTGGGGAGACATTCCCAAAGCACTGAAAAGCATATAACACTGGCGATTTTCCACATAACTTGTAGGAAATGTTGATTTTCAGGTAAGGCCACCTGATAAATATTTGTTTGGTATTTTGATATCTGCTTGTAAAAAAAGCACTCACGAGGAGCTGGTTACTTCCTGACCGCCCTACAGTACAGGAGTGGAGAGATAAGCTAGAGTAAATTACATGTATGTTTTGGAAAAGATTACTATGTTTCTTCGTCTTCAGAAAGAGAAGATTATTAAATTACATAGTTGGTTATTACCTATTGAGTGATTGAATCAGTGATATTGTGTTACTCTATAAAGTTCACACTTTATCTCTCCCAAAAATTCTCATATTTTATTTATTTTACATTCCTCAATGTATTTCTATTACAACTATTATTATCATTGTTTTATTATTGTAACTGTTGAAAAACTGCCCTGGTCCTGATGCAAGTCAGAATAAAGAATTACAAAAAAAAAGTCCATAACTCCTTTACTCTACTTTTCACTTAATATGGATGTGAACACCCTCAGAGTTGGAAGTCAGTACTCAAATCCAATGGCCTAAAGTACTGAGTCAAAGCAATGGTAACCATCTTCTGTATGTGCAGAGAATGGACAAAACATCGACACCTATCCTTTAAACAAATAGAGTGTAATAGTGTAAAAGTAGAGTTTAGAAAATATATGACACTATATGAGAAATATAGAAACAAAATAAATACACTAATGACTTCCATCCATCCATCCATCCATCATCAACCGCTCATCCCGCGTACAGGGTCGCGGGGGGGCTGGAGCCAATCCCAGCTGACATCGAGCGAAAGGCGGTGTACACCCTGGACAGGTCGCCAGTCCACACTAATGACTTATTTCAAAATATAAAAAAAACAAAAAAAAAAACAAATATCAGTAGATCATTGGAACTTACTGTTAAACAGTTGTTAATTCTTATAGTTATAATGGATAAAGATATCCAGGTACGAATTTGGAGGGTTTTGTTTACTTGTTACCTGCCGACTGTATGACCAATCATTGATCGCCATTTCCACCACATGGCCTTTGTGTACAATTTCTGAGTTTTGCCTTTGTGACCACAAACCGGACCAGTTGGAAAACTGAAACAATGTATCCTCCTCGCATTGGTACGATTCAGGAACCGGACCTTCAGGTGTGAACCTATAGTGATAATGGACATAGAAGAGTGAAACCGACTGGCCTAATCATAGACGTGTATAAACAATCATGGTAAATTTTAGTAGGCTACTTAATCTATTTGACATTAACGTGGGGATGGCCATTTCTGTCAATGCTGGCCAGTCTAAGTACCAAGATCTAGTCCTAACTTGGGTAAAGTCTTAAAAACGTAATTATTCCAAGGATTTTCTTAAAAGAGCAACTATTTGTATGAGGAATCTTTATAAATAGGCCCCCTGGAGAATAAACTGGTTTGCAGGGCTGCCAACTTTTCAATTTAGTTTTGAGTGAGATTCGGTATTGGAGGTTGGTTCATTTTAGGCCTTCTGTGTTATATCCCACCGCAGGGGTCAGGGTCATCACTCTTTAATGTGCATGTCACAGCCACATGTATGTGTAGATGAAAAGCCAAGTCAATAATCATGGTCTGATCAGTGTGATCAGGGTACTTGCCAACCTCCAGACATGATAGCCTTAATGTCTACCAAATCATGTATTGGGGAGTCTTCCCCCCAGAATCTATGTGTCAAAACCAGATACTGTATTTCTTTTAATTCTAGAGAATGTATGGAATATTATAGGTTAGTTCATAATAAGAAAGAGTATAGGTTTTCCTTTGGAGGAGCCATTTATTTAGAGGGAGGGTGTGGGGGTTCATCCCCCAGCAAAGTTTTAGCATTAAACACTTAATTTCCTGCATTCTGGTGAACATTTCTGCATCAATTCTTGCCTTTTCTGCATCAATTTATGGAGGACATGTTTTTATCTAGGCTATGTCAACGGAAACACAAAACTCAGGCAGCAGGTGACTAAAAAAAATATTTAAAATGTAAAATATACCACAATATAATTCAGTAGGTGTATGGCTTTCAAGTATTCTGTATTTCTTTTTCTTTCATGACTTAGTCTTCCCTCTTCGTTGTGTCTTTGTTTGGGAAAGTTCCTCTTTAAATGTGGCACCCTTTCACCTCAAGGATAAATTAATTCATTTTAATTCCGTTAGAAACTCCTGAACTGAATGTTCAAAACTTTTTGCATCTATGTTATATGATATCTCCATAAAGATTTTTGTGAGAATAATGTCATCATTTATCACAATTAGTTGTTAATTGTGTTATTAATCATTTAATCACACATTTTTCAAAATTTCCCCGCCCTATAATCTGCTGTTCATTACTTGCACTGCTGATATGATAGAATCCCAGACAGACAGACAGACACAGAACCTGTCTGTATAGATGAGACCTGTGCAAAATGAAACTAACTAAAAGCACTTCACCACAAATCTTCACGTTAACATCAGCAGCTCTGTGCAGCTCACATTCCCAACAGAGTAAGGCTCAGATTATACATTTTTATATTGCAAAATGTAGTGGCGATCGTACCCCAAATAAGCCACTTGAAGGAATCTGAAGTCTCCAACGCCTAATGGTGCAAAAAATCAGGTCTGCCATGGCATGCGGTTAACACTTTATTTTGTGCAGAATAAAATGACTTACAAAACACTGCTGCTTGCATTACTGATGTAAACTGTAAACGTATGCAAAAAAACAGTAAACACGGTGCTAACGGAAGGACATGACAAAATCCATCACCAAGATACACACATGCAGATTGAAAAACTTTGTGGCTTCCCCAGATCGTAATTCCCTCTCGCTATTCATCTATGACTTACTCATATAGCCTTTGTTACCACCGTGGTTCCCTGCCTATGCCCCCTGGTATAAAGGTATAGTTTTTCCAATGTGTGAGAAAATTGGTGGATGGCGTTTGAGCGTGTGAAAAGTGTCAATTGCGTGAGTCTCACGCTCAATGCGTGAGAGTTGGCAGCTCTGCTTGTTTGCCCTTAATTTCGAGCAGCTCAGACGCAACAGTAACGTTATGCTTTGAACTGTGTCGCAGAGAGAGACGTCGTTTTTCCTTAGGTCTAGTAATCATGTACCAACTGCAAGAGACATAATCATATAAAGTCATATAAGCTGTTGTGTCGCCTCCAGAAGATATTCAAAGTTATAGCCACAAAGTAGTAAACTACCCTACTAGTCAAACTTCTTTCTTCTGATCTTTCCCAGCTTCCGTAATTAGGCTGAGTAAAGTTAGCAGGAAACACCAGAAAGTCAGCGTAATTCCGGAAATTGAATTTTTTTTTCAAAGTAAAAGTAAGGATATTACAATTTAAGTGAAAAGGGAAAAGAGAGCAAATACTGGATCGTACATAATCACATAATATCATAAAACATCTCAAATCTAATTGACACATTACGCATAGAAAAAAGAAACAAGATATTAACATAGCTAATGAAGGCGATACAATAAGATACAGCAGTTAGATTCTGAAATGTATCAGGAAAACGTTATCTTTCAATAATGTAGACAACTTGATAGTGTATTAGCTGTACATTGGCGAAGTGTTTATGAAAGTTCACACACTTTCTGTTACATTTCCTGCGCATTCTTCATTAGTAGGACAACGAAGATTAGTTAGCTTAAGGACACGGGCACGCGACACCGTGGGACGGTTACCTTTTTAGCCGACAGCCCCACGTCTCACCGCTCCATGGTGCTTTGCCAAAGGAAATGCGTGTTTTGGAGTTATGAGGAGTTCAGTTGTTTCTCGGTCTCTCTGTAGCTAGAGGACCAAAGGGAAGCTATGACACTCAGCCACATCGGGTCACACTTGAGTGACTGACCGGTTGTCGCCATGCCGAGCCAAACGACGTCCCCGCCGCTGACTGTGACTGTGCTGGCCGCGCTGTGGGTCAGTTTGGGTCGGTGCGCGGTCTCCGAGTCTCGGGGGTCAGGATGTGACAACGGAAAGGTAACTAAAATGTTATAACGTTACCTACTGTCTGTTGGTGCGTGGATCACCCGGTGTTTCAAGCATTTAACTTATGTTCAGTTATTGGAGGCATTAAAAATCACTACATTTCCGTGCGTGCGTGTGTGTGTGTGTGCGTGTGTGTGTGTGCGTGTGTGTGTGATAGCTGTCTTTGGACAGGGACCTGCCTGCGGATGCTGTATATTGGAACTGTCCATTGTCTGCTTGGTCCGAGTCTCCTCAGGTAACTGTGGATTCAACAGACTTCATCATCAGTGTTGCAAATAATTCATCCCCCGAAAAAACGGGTGGGGTGGGCTACAGGGATTGGGTGCCAGGAAGTTTAAACAATCATAGGAAAGTAATTATTGTGGTAAACTCAGTACATCAGGTACAGCTGGTAGCCTACTCTGAATCAGGTTTTGGCTTGTTCAAGTTGCTCTATCAGTGATTTAACCAGTGTTCACTGTCTCTTATCTACAGAGGCTTCCCAGTATTGACACAGTGTATGATCCCGAGGTGAGTAAACACTTTACCAAGCACTCAACAAACATTTAGAGGTTGAATGAACGTGGTTTGAACGTCCAATCCATATGTCCAAGTCATGGTTAAAAAATAGTTACAAAATGGAAGTTGTGCCAATGTCTACGACGTGACCTGGCTATCAGCTGGAAGTCTTTACTGGATTCTCTAGCAACTGAAAATAATAAGTCAACAAATAATAAAGCTTTTGGTTTCACACCGGACTCCAACCCCGGTCTCCTGCCTGAAACTCCTGAAGTCAACCCGTTCACCTTACACGACCTCATCTTGAAGTGGACTTTGTCAAACATACTACGTTATCTGACTTTCTGGAAGCCAACTTCTCCCATGTGGCAGAAAGACTTTTTGCTCTTTCGAACACCACATGCTTTAAACAATGAGACAGGAGTATAATTTACATGTAGATATACTTTGTGTATAAAAGCCATAAATATATGTTTTTAGATATTAGAAAACACTAGCATTTGGACGTGGATTGGACATCACAGGGTGGCAGTGTGATCACAACGAAATAAATTGTCCATCCAATGTCATCATAATAAAACAAAGACACGTGCATATGCGTGGCGAGGGACACGACGCTGGGCACTTAAATTGAGAGTTTCCCCCAACTTTTGACCTAACACTATCTTAACATGGCCATTTCCTCCAATCAAAGCACAATGGCAAATTGTACGGTAATGCATCACATGAATCAAAGGCTTTGTCTTGTTTTCAACTTTACACAAAGTGTTGCTAAAGAGAAGTTTTGCAGCCCTAGTTTGCTAAACGTCATCCTTGTTTTGTAATGGATGTCAGCAACTTATTAGTCAAAACTGAACAGCCGCTAACTTAGTGTTTGTTTTGGTGATGACTGGGTGTTTATGGTTAAATCTAATTTACCTAATTTCTTTTCACTGCAGCCAGCCAGGCAGATCTGCATGGATAAATCTATTTCCTACAACCACACCATTCCCAACAGGTAACGCTGTTTGGATAGGCATATAATGCTGCCATGAGGTGGGGAGATGGTCCAGCACAAGTTAGGAGACACCTGTATTCACATGAATATGGACACCTTTAGTCACGTAAACCCATAGCAGTGTCGTTATTTTCCTTTCTTTGCTTTGTAATACTGTAATACAGTTATCAACTGATGTAATATAAACTGTCATGTGTATATAGAGGATATTAAAATGTGTGTCTTTATTTGTGTGTGTGTTGTAGTGGAGCTTACAGACCAGTAAGGGCAGAGAGTGGAGAGTACTTGTACTGTCCTCCTCAACGGTGGCTCAGTAACTTGCACGTAAGTCACCATATCAAACATGCAGGCGCTGCTTCTGCCTCCGTCTGCACTTTCACAACAATTTAATCTCTTGTTTCTGCTTAGTAAAGTAAATTAATGAAGAGGGAGACAGTTTTTGCTGTAACAGTTAGTGAGATACAGGTAGTGACCACAGCACCCGCTTATCTGTTTGCACATTCAGCACTCAGTTACATGAGCATTTAGACATTTTGTTGCTGCAGAAAGTAATGCTCTGTGTCAGGTAGTATAATGCGATGCACTGTGAGTAATTTAAATTCTATTTAACTCTAAAATCTATTTTATTATGTAAAAGTGACAACATAGTAAAGAATCAACATGGTATTGTGGTGCATTTTTGGATGTTCACAGAATGATTTAAGATGCCTTTGTTTTCCAGAATGAGGTTGATGAAGCATTGAGGAGTTAATTGGTTGTAGACAGTAGAATATGTAGACTGGTGGCCAGTTCTTCTGAGTTACCTAATATCCCACAGTCCCTTCTGTATTATTTCTCAATCCAACAATCTGTTTTAGCTCCAATGCATCACACTCTGGACTTCAGACACAATCAGTGTATTGTGCCTTTGTGACTTAAATTAAGAGTAATACAGGGAAGTCTGGCAACAATCACATTCTGCCTGTTTGGACCTTTGATAGCAGGGCTGTCACTAAAATGGATATTCTTGAATATCAGGGATTTAACAAACAGACCATAGCCAGACTGCACTGCACATCTCAGCTAGTTTAACACTTTAATTTGTGGTTGTCGGCTGTTTTTCCTCCACAGAGGACACCAGCCATTTTCCTCTTAGGAATCTTTATCTGCTGAAAAACATTATTAACAAACAAGGAGGGAATTATATTATTTTGAGCACTTAGCCTTAGTTATAGCTGTTGAGTGTCATAAATGCTTGTGAAATGTCAATGGAAACCCTGTGGTAGAGCACGGGGACAGTGATAGTCACATGTGTGCTTGCGTGTTTTTGTGTAAATTCCAGCACGGAGCTACTGTTTTGCTCTACCATCCCTGTGCTCCTCTCCACGAGCGTCTGCTTCTGTCTGTCCTGGCCCGCTCCTGTCTGCCTGACTACGTCATCACCCCACATCCACTGCTTGTTAAACAAACGGTGAGACAAACCCTTTATTTCTGTTCTCTAACCGACCAAAGGCAGTAAGGGACTGTAGAGCAACAATATTTCTCCTTTTTAAGGTAGCATAATGTCCTGTTCATGTGTTGAAACATTTTGAATGTTGCGTGATCTGATGTCTTTGTTAGATTTAACTCCCGAGCACAACTGAAGGCGTAACTCAATACCACTCTTTCACAAATAGACCTATCCGTTAATGAAGTAAAACCAGGCCTATTAGTTATCTCTAAAGCCACGTTTAAGGGTTGAACAACCTTTATGTAAGTGTGAATGAGACTTACACTGTTTGAGGAGCAGCAGTAATATAGGAAGCCTTTTAGGATTATTAGGAAAAACTACACACATCTTAAACAAAGACAAAAGATTAGATGTATGTTGAGGCAGTCTAATGTCAAGCGATATAACAACAGATTTAAAAGTTGGGCTTTAGGCATGTAACTTTAGGCTGTGGAAAGTTGGCATAAAAATTGCCAAGGTGTACAGGAAAAACCTGTCACATTCTTTATGCATGATGGTGTACTGTTGATGTGATTATAATCAGCTGTTGTCTTGCCCAAAATGAAAGAATAGGATATACTGAAAAGCTTTTATAAATATATGGTCCTTGTTTCTCCTTTGGTCTACTCTTTAGTGTATGTGCTTTTTTTATTGTGCTCAGCTCATCTCCAGGCTTAATTTAGGTGAAGAACATGTAATTTGAAACTTCTCAATACAGCTTTTAGCCTTGCAGTTCTTGTTACCAGTATTTCTGGTTCTCTGGTTCTGTCATGTTCTTAAATGTACAGTGTGTATTATTTAGGAGGATCTATTGACAGAAACGCAATATAATATGTAAAACTATGTTTGCAGTGGTGTATAAGACCTTACATAATGAACCATTATGTTTTTTTACCTTAGAATGAACCATTTCTATCTACATACACCACGGGTCCTCTTACATGGAAGTCGCCAGGTTGTGCGTTTCTTCACTATGTTGAATATGTAGAAGAAGAAGAAGTAACAGTAGTAGTAGTAGTAGTCGACTGGTTTATTAGAAGTAAGAAAAGAAGTGAAATTTGAACAAATGGAGGCCCAAATGTATTATTTAACACAAGAGCACTACGGTCACCGTAGCTTCTTCTGCACACTTGGTTAGGGAGGGGTGAGCAGTAACTGATGGTGCATTCATGTGGTGTCGGAATAATCACTATCTTTTTTTCCTCTCAAATCTTGAGTGCACAAACAGAAATAAAGACAGGACATAAAGAAGTATAAAGAACTTTGATTTGTGCAAAATCAAATAATGCAAATACATATTTTATATGACATATACACTATATTACCGAAAGTTTTAGCTGTAGTGATTCCAACTTTGTGGAAACAGTTTGGGGATGGCCCCTTCGTGTTCCAACATGACTACGCACCAGTGCACAAAGCAAGGGCCATAAAGACACAGATGAGTGAGTTTGGTGTGGAGACTGGCCTGCACAGAGTCCTGACCCCAACGCAATAGAACACCTTTGGGATGAATTAGAGCGGAGACTGCGAGCCAGGCCTTCTCTCGTCCAACATCTGTGCCTGACCTCACAAATGTGCTTCTAGAAGAATGGTCAAAAATTCCCATGAACACAATCCTAAACCTTGTGGACAGCCTTCCTAGAAGAGTTGAAGCTGTTATAGCTGCAACTCCATATTAAACCGTACAGATTGTAAATGGGATGTCACTAACCTTCATGTGCATGTAAAGACAGGCGACCCAAAACTTTTGGAAATATAGTGTATATTAGATTGTGTTGTGCTCTGATAGTGCTAATCTAACACATCTTTGTAGTAGCATCCATGTTGATCCCACATTATGACTTAAGTGCATATGAACACACACTGAAGTCGGAAGAACTACTTCACAGCTCGGAAAATAGGACCATCTGAGGAGCACGTGAATGCACCATAAGCCGCTGACTGCAATTCACAACCCTCACCACTAGATGCCACTAAAACTTACACACTGAACCTTTAAGTCTTAATGTGCCTTTGTTAGGAGTGCTTGTTAATGAATAACACTATACACTCATGTTCATATTTTAAAATGTTCTCTTGTGGTTCTATATATGCTTTTTTTAGTTTTACTGTGCATTACTGATTCTGACTGAAACATGCATTGATGCCATGCAAGCCAGTTCCAGTGTTTCAACCTATTTATTTATTTATTTAGTAGCACAAAAGACAAATAAAAATACGCTGTATGAATTACGCAGGAGAGGTAAGAAGTCCCCAAGGGCTAATAGTGAAACATCCCCTCTGGATTTTCAGTTGATATTATACATAATTATTATAGAAAAAATAATAACAATAATGATAAACGACTTAAATACTGACAATGATGGACAAGTTCTGATTAAATGACCTCAACATTAGCTCTATTCATTTTCATAACAGCAGCATTACACTTTTTCATAACAACACAAAAATCAGGCATTACATACACCTATGAGTTATTTAAAGAGTAACTTAAATTAATTAAAATTTTTTAAATAAAAATTATTATATTTGTTGTTTACTGTCTTTAAACAAGTACCTGTAAATTACATTACAGTAGCTGAGGGCAGGGGTAGGGATTACTTTAGAGGGCTATTACAGTCTGTTAGTGTACCATGACTAATAAATTAGAAGTTTCTGCCTCTGGAAGAAAGGGTGTGAATGTTCACTGTTTTCTCTGTGTTCAGCCAATAGCCTTAGTGTCCTGGGGTCGCACCTTAGAGCTGTCCACCGTGGCCTCTACAGAGGTCTGTGATTGGCTGGAGACCACAACATCCACACGAAATGAGTGCGGTGGCATGAGCCAGAGCAGGAAGTACAACCTGCTGTTAACCTGGTCAGCAGAGCAGCACAGGGAACGACATGCACATCCAGAGAAACACTCTGCAAAGATGAAGGTTTGGAGATTGGACTGACGACTTTGCTTGTTTGTTTACATAGCGTTAATTATCGTGAATTTTACGTGCGCTACAATGAAAGCAGCCAACAAGAGTCATTTCAGTAGTCTTTTAAAATGTCTCTAAGTAGCTGTTACTATAAATCCCCAGGAGGATCTGAGGCGATGCTGTGAGCAGACCATCTCTTCTCTGCAGAATGGAGTGATGGAGACAGAGCTGGAGTCCAACATGAAGAAGAATAGCTTGAAACAAATTAAAGAGGAAGGCAAAAGCAGGCAGATAAGAGCCGCCTTTAGAGAAAAATGGGGGGATGTTAAGGATAACGGCGAGAGTAAAAACACAATAACTCCGGTGTCCAGTTTTATGTCTAACCAGACCAGCAGAACCACCCTCAACAGGACAGGGGACGCCCAGAACAACAGCAACACACTTGGACCATCAGCAGACTCTCGTCCAAGGAACAGGATTCTCTCAGATCATCCTGGTCCAAGGAAAGCTCCTTCTCAGTCTAAAAGTATAAATCAGAGCCTTAAACCCAGGCCCACAACTTCTTTGGGCTCAAATATGTCTGAGACTTCACTTAGAGCTGAATATTTAGGATTTGGGGCGTCTGAGTCTCAGAAAAGCAGGCTAATGCTACAGACAACGTCACAACAGCCTGCCCTCAGAAACCCAAACCCTTCTGCTGGGTTGGATGTTCTTGCAGATGGCTTGAACAGTGGACATGACCATACTGCCAGACCTGAAGCCCTGACCCTCAGTTCCAAAGATGAAGGTACAGACTCATCCAGACAGAGGGATAAAGACTCTGTTGTAGACAGAGTGGAAGAGGTGGAAGCCAAAGTGAAACAATCTGATAAAGACAACACAGCAGGCACCATGGTGAAGGATAATGAAACAGTAGATGTTAAAGAGAGAGAGTTGGAACATAAACAAACACACAGTGACACACACTCGCACCGCAAAAGTAAAAAGACAGGCTTAGATTCTGTTTCCAAATCCCAATTGGAGTCTCCGCCCCAGCCACAACAACACCAGCACCCACAGCCAGCCACCTACCCGCCCAACAGCCAAGACTGTGACGGCTGCAAAGAAGGCGAACACTGTGACTGCAACAAGAACTCAAGGGCCGCGGCCCGGGCCGCTGTTGTGAATAAGGGGTTGCCAAGGACCCCAAGGACAGACGAGGCAGTGTGGGCAGCAGCAGCACTGGGCTTCCTGCTGGTGCTGCTGACCCTGTCAGTGCTTCACACACGCCTGTACCGTCACTGGAGGACTGCGCCCAGTCTTTACTGGCACGATCCACAGCAGGACTACGACAGTGTGGCAGGTAGGTGGACCACAGAAGGTTCAGTCATCAGAGAGCTGTTTTGATCCTCTGACCAATCCTGTGAACTAGTTTGATCACATTAACTTAACTAATCACCAGTCCTTACTTTGAAGAGATCATGCTAATTAACACAGACAGAACCATAAACATAACCTCTTCGGTGGAGGTAACATGCCTTAACGTGCCTTTCTTTATATTCTAAAGCAGTTTAATTAATATGTTGTGTTTATCTGTGTGCGTGTCCTGCAGATGTGATCAGCAGGAGGCTACGAATTGCGAAGAGGAGGCGGAAAAGGAGCAGACGACAGGAGTGTGTTCTTCTGCCCAGCTCCTCCAGCTCAGATGAACATCCATAGAAAAATGAAGGAATTATCCCCAAGAATGCATCCAAGTCTCGCTGCATGTTGAGGAGGCAAAGAGTGGACTTTGTGTCCTCACAATGTTGGCAACAGCTTGGCTGTCAATTAAAAAGACTGTGAACAAATTAGACATGGGTTGCGCAAAATGGGTGCAACTCAATATTAGGGAAGCATTCCAAATTGTCTATAATCTGATCTAATCCATACACCAGTGGTCGGCAATAGGTGGCCCGCGGCCAGATTGCTTTGATAGCAGAAAAATAAAAAAATTTCAGTGGCTGGTGCTGAAATAGGTCTCAGTCATGACAGCTACAGTTAGTCACACAATCACTTCTTAGATGATTGTGCCTCCAAAATAAAAGCGTGGGAAATTTTTTTGCAGCAATGCTTCATGTGGAGTTTATTGAGAGCTTTTTCTTTCTGAAGGACATTCAAAAGAGTCTCTGACTTGCTTGACACACCTCTGAAAAAGCTGTCAGTAAACATTTGATTGGATTCCCCTGAATTTCCACAGGGAAATGAAAATAAGCGTCCATAGGTTTATGAATGCAAATCAAATGCTGGGACGCGCACACACTACAGCACATGCTTTATTGTTAGCAGGTGCAAAATTTTCCTTATAATCAATTTGTTTAACAAGGTAGAAAAAAAAAATGAGACTAAAATTAGATTGGGAAAACGATACATGCCGCCGGGGCAGGGCATGTCTGGAGGCTGGGCCTTACTCCTGTACAAAAACACAACTTTATAACTATTACCTGATTTGGGTGGAACTGGATCATACTTTATGTAATTGTTTCCTGATGGACAAATAGCCTTACTTGTTTCTAAAGTAACGCTAACTGCTACTAACTGTAGCTGCTGTTAGCTAGTTAGCGTAGTTAGCCATGCAGCTAGTGGTCCTATTAGTGGACCAAAGTTTATGTGCTAAGGGTGTAAACTGCTCCTCTGAGCTACCAGTGTGTGGCAGGCAGACAGGCGGGCAGAGTCAGCTAGCGTCAATAGGACCGCTAGCTGCACGGCTAACTGAGCTAACTAGCTAATGGCAACAACAGTTAGCAGCAGCTAGCGTTACTTTCCATCTGGAAACTCTGCACAGAGATGAAAGGAGCCAGAGGACATTAGACAGCATGTTTCATATGTACTTCATCAACAAGAATCCATTGTGCGTGTTGTGGCTTTTTCTTGTTGTTTTGCACTTTAAATGGCGCTGTTGTTGCAAATGACTATGTACTTCCGCTTATGCAGAGGATGTCAGCTGAGTAGGTGGTACACACTGCTAAAAGAATGTGGCCATATGAGGCCCAGACCACCTCCGAATGTGGTCTGTGATCACATCTCTATGCGTCTTCAATAGGTCTTCGGTGCAGTCAAACCTGTAGCTGTCCACTTGTGATCGGATCACCCAAGATGCATGTTAATACCAGGTGTAAACAGGCCCTCTGTCTTCTTGTGAAGGAAGCTGTGGAAATGAGAACAGAAAAAAAATTGGACCATCCAAAGTGAGTGTGTATACATCCAGAACACAGATGAAGCAGCAGTAGTCCAAAAGTACATTTCCCAAATAACAACCATCAAAGAATATTAACAGAAAAATACTATTGTATATTTGTCTGGATCAGTCCTTTGACCCCTCAGGACATCCCCATAAATAATACTTTAAAAAGTCCAAAGAGAACCCTTCAGGTTTTATTTAGCGACCTACAAATGTAATATAATTGTACAACATTACAAAACATTAGTCAGAACATTGTCTGATCATACTCTCTTGCACAGCACAGTGTATAGTCCTCATTTTGCTCACTCCATTTAATCAATATAAAGTCTCCAGTTCTGGTCTTGATAGTTTTTCTACTCGATGGTTGTTTTCATTGTGTTTACATTTTGTTTTTATAAGTAGTTTTTAAAGTAATATCGTGTTGCTTTTACCTGTGAAGGTGTGGTATGTGAATATGTAAGTTGCTGTTCTAAGCAACGCTGTGGGCGGTAATCAGTGGTACGAACATATGAATGGCTGTATTTTGAAGGCCTTTTTGGACATGATTTACAAAGACAATAAATTCCTTGACAGAAGTGTTGAATGTTTGAAACAGCTCTCTGATGGATGTTTTCTTGTATCTTTTAACACCATAAGCAAATGTTTGCATCTGACCAGTTATACCCGGACCAGTACCTGGATTTTAAGGCTGATGATAATATCAATATTTGAGTCTAAAAAATCTGATGACATCCATGCATGTAATGGAGAAACTTTCTACATAACTGCAAACTTTTTTCTTGGTCACCGATACCTATATATTTGCTGATTTATCGTACTCACATCTTGAGAAGGAAGAAATCTGCATTTACAATAAAATTACGGCTATTTGTTTGAAGGCTGAAATGAAATGTATTTTCTATCATATTGATTCTGAATGCTGTTGTGGTCAAATTGTAACTATATACATCTTCATTTGAGGTCGTCAGTTTTTCAGTCACACTATTATTATTATTATTATATTCAGTCAGTGAATAGGACATCTTCATTAGGAAACTGAAAGCTTGTGCTAGAACCAACTCAACAAAGCTAAATTAGTAAAGGTCCACAGGAGGGAACTCGGCAAGTCAAATTTCAAGATTGAGTGCAGAAAATCATCAAATGTGCCTTAATGTGGCATAATATAATCATCTTAGAATGAAAAACCTAAGGAAATAATCAAATTTAGGCAAAAAAACAAAACATTTATGGCATAAAACAATTAAAACTTTTAATTCAGGTAGGACTAATTAAAATGATGCAAGCAAAGTTTTCTGTGTTTATAAAACCATTGCTTGTCTTTTTGTACAGTGATTACTGTGTGATTTGATTCAATACTAATATGAAATACTTTTAGCTGTTATGCATATTATAGCAATAAAATAATATGCATTTTTTGCTAAAAAAACATCAAACTTTGCCCTTAATACTGAAAGGTTTGGGGACTCGGCCTCGACATGAACTGTCATTAAAGATGATTAGAGACGTAAATACACGTGTCCCTTAGAGTGAGCATCCACTAAGTAAGAAGAAACTAAATGCAGACAGATCCAGGACAATGAACTTGTTTTACTATTTTATTACAAATGTACAGCTTATGAGTTTCCATTACGATTGACCTTTAAGTCATTGTTTCCTCTACTTTATACAGTTTTAACGTCTTCTGTTAAAAGATAACTCTCCCAACACCCATCTCCCAAGTGTAGAGCTGTAAAGAAACACAAGGTCAGCAACAGTACAGGCCACAGTGCACTGCCAATGGCTGAGTATCAGAAGTTTGTGTGTATAATTCACTGGCTTCAAATGTAAAGTTTGTACTTGTACAAGGCTTGGTCCAACTGATAAGTTGAGGGTGTGTGTTTTAAGTTGGAAAACGTGCTGAATTTTGGACACGATGGAGGTGTAGAAAGTATGTTGCACATGAACTGACGGAAGCATTTAACATTCACACTAGAGGCACCCTACGTAGTGTCTTACGAACTCCAGGAAGGACAAGGCCATGTGCATTTTAGACCCTTCTCCTGCCATTTTGAGATGACTGTAGTGCTAAGCCAAAGTGAGCTTCAGACCTTTCCTATTGCCCAATCCCAAATCAAACCCTGCATCCTGCACCTAATGTACTTGAACTAAGACCTTTGGGAGAGTGCAGTACATAACATAGATCCTACTTCACCCAGCTGGTGTTTGAAAATAGTGCAACTTAGTCCGCACCGTTGAGTAATCGCCTACATCAAACTGTTTTCACTCTTTGCTTCCTGTGGATTCTAGTAGGATCGTTAATATGTACAATATAACTACATAAGGGGACAATACCACAGGATAACCATACTCACAAGACTTAAAATATCTACAAGTACATTGGTGTCAAGAGTAAAGAGATGAATGAAGATTTGGTGAATAGGTCCCATAGCCTGAAGCCCACTTGTGCCAACAAATAGACATAAATATCTGGCAGACATAACCCTAACATATAGCTTAATATAAAATATAGCATGAAAATATATGTTCATATATATGGCTCTAGTCTAAAACTTGGGCAATTGTGATTGAAGGGACAAGCTTTTCTTCGTGTGTGTGTGTGTGTGTGTGTGTGTGTGTGTGTGGTATTGCTGTTGTCCCAGCAGTCAGTACGACATCACTGTAACTCAGCCAGCCAAACAGAAGAGGATAATGATGTCCAAAGGCATTCAATATCAAACAACGATACATTTCATGAGTCTTCTGGATATGACTTGTTTTGACAGGGAACAGAGCAAACATCTCAACCTCCGCTACAGAGACATCTGTGTATGTGGGTGGGTGGGCAAAACATGAATAAAGTGGACAGGGAAGTGCTGAAGGTGGTCTAGCATCAATCCCTCAAAGTGTTTGGGGCTAATTAAGGTCTAATTGGTTCTTGCAAAAAGGCAGCAATACAAGAGACAAATTGCGACGCCACCGCCGTGTGAAGGATGAGGTCAATGTGTCCGGTGAGTAAATTGAATGTGCAGAGGACTTCTGAGAGCTGAGCATGATTATAGAATGGACCAATGCAAGCAAAATCAACCATTAAAGGCCACAAACACTTTGAGAAACTGTGTTGTGTCACAATCATTGAAGAAGGGCTACAGGTGACTCTAAACTAGAAGAGGGCCATCCTGGCAGCTGGGAAATACATTTAGGTCCCACCTGCAACCTCTGTTACAGATATGACCACATTTGTTCGGCACAGTACAACAGGCTTTAAACCTACAGCAGAGGCTAAGTGCGCTATCTTTTTGAGAAGAAGAAAAAAAAAAATTTGTTCCCAATGCTCTCTCCCCTTTGGCAGAGATCAGAGACAGTGAGCTAGAAGTGACTTCTGTGGCCCAGATCAGCAGGCCATGACGCAGAACCATTCGGTGGGCTTGATTGTGCTTGCCAGACAGTCTAAAAAGTGGAAATAATACATGGCAAACTGAATCAAGCGCACTTGAGATGGCTAAATCCATTTCAAATGAGCACATTTTCTCAAATGAAATGATGCGGTGAGTATCTCGCACCATGTTTACTTTCCAGGTTGCTAGATCTAGAGCTTTTCACAGGACTACTTAAAGCTTTACTGCAACATCCCAGTTATATGTATCAACATAATGCGACTGAACATTTGTTAACATGCATGCAAATCGATGGCTGCTGTGGGAGGCACAGACGCCATGTAAATAAAATACTGCTTTAAAGCAAGACTAGTGGTAGTGGTGGTGGAGAGGGTTAATCCTCATACACAAACTGGACCAAGTGATTTTATTATCCTGCTTGGCACATCAAAAAATGAATATGCGATTGATTCTGAGATGATTCCACTGGCTCTGTTAGATGAGGCAAATTGTAAGACAAATCAATCCCCAAAAGACAGTTGAGGTGAGGATACACGAAAAGAGCAATTGATACAGGTCCTGTCATCATGCACAAAGGGGCTTTTGGCTTGATGGAAAATCTAAACCAAAATCAAAATGTCCCCCCCAACGCCTTCTCCACCTTTGGCAACTGTTCAACCCCCTTGGCAGACTACAGGATATATCACATGAAAAAAAAAAAAAATAAACTGTCACCCCAGAAAAGGAGTGCTTGAAAAATGCTGAGGAACATTTCACAGGTTATTTCTTTTACACGTGTGTCTGCACGCATGTTTACTTAAATCCCAGTAAGAGGTCAAGCACATCCTCCCCACCTGTCTCCCTATTCCACTAAATGAGAATCATATTTCAGACAGTAAAATAAACATACATAAACAGTTAAATCAAGATGACAGCCAGTAAAAATATCAATACAAAAAAAAACAATAGGCATGGTAAACAACAACAATAAATCACAATTATTCCAGTGTAAGTGTTTTGTTTGTCATTTTTGTCCTCAGAGGTGCAGACCAAACCAATCTGCATGTTCAAAAGAAAAAAAAAAAAAAAAGACTAAGGAGAGAGAGGAAAGAAATTAAAACATGCCAGATCATGCTGTGTACCACCAACAACAGGGGGGGTGTCGGGTGTGAGAGAAGCTGGAGCCCCCTGCAGAAGCTGACCCAGGAGGACGCATCTGAGAGCCTGGGTGGGACGTGGTGTGGGGTCGAGCTCCTTCTCTGCACCGCAAGCTCATCCTGTCTGGGACGGGATAGGAGACAGAGAGGCCCTATGTCTGGTAGGAGAGAGAGAGAGGCAGGAGGGTGGCGGGGGTAGAGGAGCGGGCCAGAGGGGAATTGAGGGACGGAGATGGCGTGGAGTATTGTCATGGTCGGCCTATCTACTTCCCTCTCTCGCAGCACACACCTCCTCCCTAGTTCAGGTAAACAGGGAGAGGGAGGGATGACGAGTGACAGGTGAGAATAAATAAAGCGGTATAACATCTCAGGATCCAGTGCACTGTACATCGCCACCGTTGTATTTCACGTATGCTTCTCACAGTTTGAGCGGTTTATCATACACATCTGATTCCAACAGTTCATTTAGGTCTCAGCAGGCTTCAGTTTCCATGTTGGATCCTTCCGCTCGTCCTCCCTTACTTTCACTTCCACACTTGTGGGATTCTTCCTTTCTCTGTCCTCTGTAGTGTTTCTACCAAACAATCATTCCTCTTTGCTTTCATGCATATTCAAAACTTTTCCTTCCCTCATCGCGCCCATCATTCTCTCAATCACTCCCCCTCCCTCGTCCTCCCATCGATAGTGTGATCATCTTTGCATCTTTCTTCCTCTCCTACAAGCCCTTCCCGTCCCTCCTAGTCCACCCGTGCATCGATCCGTCCTCTCTCCCTCTTTCCTCTCCGCCCATGCATTTTGTAGGGTCACTGCTTCTTCTCACGAGTGGTGATGGTGACCAGTTGCTTGGCAGCCTTGGCGATGTCGTAAGCGCACTGGATGACCTGCTGGGTAAGGAGTTGGTAGTCCACCGCAGGGGCCCCAGGCTCCGAGGGCGCCGCCTTACGGCACTCCACCTGCAACCGCGAGGCACTGGAAGCCAACAGCCGTAGGGAGCAGTGGACTGCATCCAACGCCGGGCGCTATGGAGAAATGAAGGGAACCAGAACTCAAATCACGAGGTGGATGCAGGAGGATGTAAACAGATCGAAGAAGATAAGGAGAGCAACACCCAGACAAAGAAAGAGAAAGGGAAGCACCAAGGGAAAAATGAAACATGATTGTGGGGTAACTTACTTTGGGGAAAAGTGAGGCCATCTCAGTGACAGCGGAGTGGATCTTCTCAGAACATGGAACAAAGCTAAAGTGGGGAGACATTTGTTTTTTTAAATTAGTCGCTCACAAGACACAAGGTAATGTAACAGAAGTTCTGATTAAAAAAAAAATAACAAAAAGAAGATTGCTCTGGGGGACATTGGTGGGCTGTATTTGTTGGTGTTTTTCAGTGTACGTGTAAAATATATGTGCAGAATTCTTCATGTAAAGACTCTGTTGGATGTTAGTCCCAACAAGTATAGCTATGATGACTGAGTGCCCATACTTCACTACCAGCGCAATGACACTATCAAATATTTTAATCAAAATTTGAAATGGAATTCGGAAATTATAACATTTTCTCTTAATTGCATTTAGAGCTCTTTAAGTTTTTTCTTTAGCAATATTTACGCCCATGTTTAAACTAATGCCGTTATACCAAGGTAGGTATACCAAATACTATGTTCAACTATGTGACTATTTATGGTGGACTAGTATTTGTTCTCCTGACACCTGGGGCGTCTTTCAAAAATCATGACATGTGCTTTCCTCGTGGCAGTACTTTTTCTACCATGTCCATAATAGAACAAGGTCATCAGCATAAAACAGATACCACACATCTTCAGCTAGAAGGGAGAGGCCAAGAGCAGCACATTGATTCAACTGAACAGCAAGTTCATTATACACATTAAATAAAGTCGGGTTTCAGTGACAACCCTGATGAACATCTCTTCCTGGGTAAAGATTTCAGTTTGTCTCCAATTCTAAAAGCACACTGATTTTTCAAATACATTGAGTTAACCAGAATGTACATGCCACAAGAGTAGGAGTCTGTAAAAGTATGAAGGGTATATACATGTTTTTGGAGGAAGCCAGTTAGATTTTTACTCAGGATGGCGTATTCATCATGAAAATCTTGTTTCATTTTATTTAGAACACTAAAGAATAATAATTTACCTAGACAAACACTGACACAGATGCCACGGTAGTTACTAGAGTCTGATTTGTTCCCACTCCTATGAATGGGGAAATTGCATCATCTTTGCACCAGATGTCAAGAAAACACTGACTGTAATACGATATCGAGCAACTTCAATACTGCACCCTGCATCTCTGGGGAGCAAATTGAGAACTTTGTTTTAGGGTGATGACATCATAAAATATGTTTACAGACCGTTGAAGCTTTATTAAAAAAACACAACAGAAAGTGGCTGTATTACCTGTCGTGTTTGAACTCCTGAGCAGCCCTGAGCAACTCCTGGATGTTCTTGGTCACCTGCTCAGTTTTCAGTATGACATCCTCTGTGCAGGGCAGGGTGGGGTCCGGATCCACCGCCTCCCCACCTCCTCCCTCCTCTGACTCCCCGCGACCTTCCTCCTCACTGCTGCGCCCCATACTGACAAAAGGAAAACATAAATAGACTTCATTAACACATTGGACTAAAGCTGAGGGCGGACAGTCACAGAGGACATTTATCAGTCTGGCGCTTTAGCATCTCAACACTGTGTTCAAGTGTTCAACATCTTAAAGAGACTGCCCTCTTTTTGTCCTATATTTCTCAATAAAAACTGTTGGATCAATAACCTCCATATCTGTGTTTGGTCCAGATGTATAGTACTGCAAAGTAAGAAAACACAAAACTACAGCAAATAGGGTGATAAGTGAGTTGCATATACATTTTGGGAACCAATTGTAAAGGTAATTTAATGACAAAATACTTATGTAACACAGACTATACAAATAGTTTAAGGGCTTTAGATGCTTAATAATCTCAATTAAATCCCATGACAACTTTTGGCTTTATTGCCAGAACTCATTTTGTCTTGAGGGTGCATCTTTGGTTTCAGAATAAAATTCTAAGATATGAAACACAACACGGGAAATAATTGGTATTTGGTACTAGCAATTAGTAAAACTATCTCCAAACACACTCATCCTTGTGTGTACAGTGGATCTGACCTTAGCGAGAGGTCGTACGTTTGTGTGTTGTCATAGTCACTGTCAGTGCCACTGCCGTGCTTCTCTGGTTTAGGGACCTGGGAGGGAAACGCAGCAACAAAACGCACCATCAGTGCCATTATCACCCACATCTTCAAACCTCCTGCTGCTCACTCCTGCAGAGTGAAATGGACACATCCTCCCACAAAGTTTGTTCCCCGTGATTTCAACAAAAGATTTGCTTGGTAAATCAGCAGTTATGAATCTTTTGAATAAAGATGAATCGTGGTTGCTTCTCTGAAATATGAAAATAATTTGGGGATTTTTCCATTTGCAGCCAAATGTAAGGAGAGGGAAGACTCTTTATCTTTGTAACAGGATGATGAGAGTTTTTTTTTTGTAATATAAATGCAGGATAGAAAAAAACATTTGGTCCCCAAGAGGCATTACAACATACCGTCTCATTTCTGATAACGGGGGATTAAATGGCTTCCAAAAACTTAAAAGATAAATATTACTTACAAAACTAAGATTTCTTTAGATACCTTCAGATAAAACTTACATTAACAGCAACATAAAGACAACAGAAGAATGTTAACACAAACCTAATTAACATATTGACTGATACATATAAATCTAAACTCAACAGAAAACTGCTTGCTAGACTCTATCCATGCTTACATAATTGGAATTCCACACTTTACATTAAAACCAAAAGGGAGAAAGAAGCTAAAGTAACCATTTCAGCAGAGGACTGGCTGAACATTTGTAAAACAATTGGATGGATACAGTAGAAAAGATTAATTTACTAATGGGTTTTGGGATTAAGCATGATTTCTGTACTATATATCTTGGAAATATCCCATTCACAATTAATTCTAGTGATAAATACTGACAATAACGATATATAATAATAATGTTGACATTTAGTAAACATGCTTTAACTAGAAAGTGGCTTTCTAAAGAGCCTCCAACACAAGGGGATTGGATTGGAATTATAAAGGAAATATATAAAATGGAAAAGCTAACTATTTCCCTGAACTGATCTAACAGGAAAATACATAAGAGAAACAGACATAGACTGGAATGCAACTAACTCCTCAATTTGGCACCGTCTTTTTAATTGTACAAATGATACCAACGTGACTCATTGACCTACCCCTGTTGCTCTACTTTTGTTTGTTTGTGCTATTAGCCTTATGTTCTGTATTGTAATCCCCCCTGTATAATCTCAACTTCCTAAACAGACTGTGTGTGGGATCATGAAGGTTGGAAAATCCGTCTAGAATCAAAAACTTAAAACTGTAAGAGCTCACCATGTATCTGCCTATCTCTGTAGATCCAGACAGATGCTGGCCACCATATGGCGCCGGACCCCCTGTACCACCCTTCCTTACCTGTGAAAAGAGAGAAGCACAAGGACGGAGAGAGGAAGAGAGAGATGAAGGGATAAAGACAAGAGAAAGAGATGTGCGGATAGAGAAGGGGATGAAAGATTAGCAGAAAGAGATGGATGAAGAAATAGGAAAAAAAAGAGTGTGGGGACAGAGAGAAGAGATGTTTTTATAAACAGCAGGAAAACCAAGATGAATGAGCCAGTGAGAGCAGCGCCAGATCAACTCGGCAGCTCACCCATCATCCCATCAACACTACTCTCTATAGCTATCCAACACTGCAATTCAAACAACACTGTCAGCTAAACTGGTGATGAACAGCTACACATCACGCAGGGCATCTAAAATGACTACATGTTTTTTACACTAATGTTGATCTCCATTATTAGATGCATAACAAGCAGAAGTGGTGTATAGTTGCATGTGAGGGAATCCTACATTTGATGAAATGGCAAACAAGGCAATGACAGACAGAATGCTTACATCCAGAGGATGCACGGCTGCACTGCAGTGAGCGAGGGACAGACAGGTGAAGAGACAGACAGACAGACAGAAAACAGACAAACAGGTAAATCTTTGTGTACAAAGATGGTGAATTGGACACGACTCCATGGAGGTCTCCATAGAAAGGTTGACAGTAGTGGTGAGGAGTGGTGTTTTTCATAGATGTTGCTATAGGCTAAATGCTGCTGAATAACATAACTGGTCGAAATTTCCTTCCCTTTATGTGTACGTGTGAGATCATAGCAACTCCTAAATTATGCAGCTGTCCAAAAGCAGGAGAGCTGGGAGGTAAAAAAGGGTTGAAAATGCAAAAGGTCAAAGGTTGCAGAGCAGGCTAGAGTGCGGATAAATCAGAGGCGTCACCAGGCAACCAAACAGACAACACAATCCCTACTTTCCATCTTTCTCCGTCAACGTCACAGTTATGCACGTCCCATTTATGGTGCTAAAAATCTTAGACTGAGGTCGTATTGTTCTCAGACAAATTACACTCTCACATTTAAATGGGGATCATGCACAACTGGACCTTTCAAAGAGAAGGATCGGGAACTGAGATGCAGGGTAAGAGAAAAGTTGAAAGGAAACAGATTGATCAGGATTGGATTATCGCCCATCAGTCAGGCCAAAGAGAGCCAATCAGGGCCACCCAAAGGAAGGTGGGAAGTAGAAGGGGCCGGGGGAGTTCTAACTTACGCTGGGTGTGTTGAGGGGCTGCAGGCGTGCTGCCAGGGAGTCCAGGGCTGGGGGACCATGGGCCATGGGGCCGGGGGCCGCTCCTGGCTCGTACATTGAGAAGGCCTGGCGGTCCCTCCGGTGGGGATGGGAGTGGGGGGCAACAGAGGAGGGCACCGAGAGCCCCGGGGGTTCCACCCCTGGCCCAAACCCACCCAGACCCCCTCCGCCTATTCCTCCTCTCATCCCACCACCTTGCCTGTGGCCTCCTCCTCCTACTCCGCCAGGCCCCCCTACCCCATGGCCAGCTGACCCCCCAACCTGCTGGCCCCCCCGCAGCGCACTGTTCTCTGTCTGCATCCGTGTGATCTACAGGAGAGGAGGAAGGGGGCAAGGAGGGATGAGAGGATGGAGGGAGGGACATGGGGAGGTTAAAGGGAAGGGAGGGAGGACAACTGAATGGTCAAAGACAAGCATCCACAATCACAGGTACAGTAAAAAGATCATACAAGATAACTCATATCAGTACTGGGGAATGTGTGGTTAAGACTTGAATAGGTTACATGTCAAGGCAGGGATTAAGCATTGTGAATGGGGTGGATAGCCTACATAACTGTATATACATATAAATACATAGTTTGTTTATAATGGCCAATGAGGGGAAATGAGGGCTCACCTGCACTGAGGTAGTGTTGGCTACCATCTAATTTGACCACAGATTTGTTTTGTGGTACTTTGCAGTATGTGTTTGAGTGCACAATGAGTGCTTGCTTGTACGTGTGCATGTTTGCCTCAACTCTTCACTAAATCCTCAGTCAAGTGACAAGATAAACACGTGAACGAATCACGGGTCACATGAGCCGACACTGGTAGCCAGTAATGAATACAATGAGCTAATGATGGTGACTCACAGGAAGCCAAATGAAGCGAAGATGAACAACAAATGAGCTTAATTAATTAAAAACTGTGTAAAGTAAAATCTAAAATGAGAATGGGTATTTGTAGCGCCCTTTCTCCACATGAGAATGACAGCTGCTTTAGTAACTAAATAACACACACAAAAAAAGTCACTGAAACAACAGCGTAGGAAAATGACACCCTGTCATTAAGATGTTCACTTGTCTCTCCATCATCCTGCCCTCCTTCTGTCTGAAATAATTGTTTCTTCTCACTTTGGCAACCTGTCCTCGTCACTTTGTCTTGTGTGTTCTTCAAATCTAGCTATCATCCACTACTGGATTTTATGTTCCAACTCCTCCACTTCAGGTTTTTCTCTCCAAGAAACAATTCATGTTGACGTTTCTCGCATCACCCCATCTCTCTTTCCTGCCCCCCTGTTGCTCTTCACTATTATTAAATAAATAAAATATCAACTTTCTGCTTTCTCTGCTCTTCTGTAATTCAGTCTGCTGTGAATGAGGTTCTGCCTGCGTTGACCTTTTTTGCCTGATTTGTCACTGCACGTCCTTTCATCCCCCCACTTCCATACTCCCTACCTCCTTCTGGAGCCGCCGGAGCTCCTCGCTCAGGTTGTTGTTGACCTTCATCAGCTGCTGCACCTTGGCTTCTGAGGAGGCCAGAGCCTTCTTCACCTCCAGGTACTCCTGCAGGGTGATGGGACCGTCTGACAAGTCTGAGGAGTCCATACTCTGCATTGACAGGAAACAAAGACGGATAGAAAGACAGACAGGAACACAGACGGGCGGACAGAAAGACACAGGAAAAGTGAGGAAAATGACAGTGTGAGACTTGTGAAGCTATTCTTGGGAATAAACTCAAAGTGGAACACCTCATCTACTCTAACAAATTAAGAGAACTTACATTACATTCTTATTTAGGCTGCCATCCATCCATCCATCAACACAGTTTGCATGCATGTATATTTATTTATTAGGGCTGCAACAATTAGTCTACGTAGGCTAAACAGCAAAACTTTTTTTGTTTTTACAGGTTTTGTACGCTATTTTATCACTAAATACTCTTTTGAGAGGTTTTGAGGCGAGAAATCAACTGTGTAGAGTTTGAACATTGGCAGTTTTAAGAAAGTCGAATCGAAAACGTGCTCAAACATTTTCGGGGCTGAGAAACTCCACAAGCACCCGCAAGGTTAGCGGTGCCAGCCAGCCGACCAGTCACACCCAAGCGGGAAGCTTCCATTCTGAGAAGTAAGGCCAACGCAGAAGTCCCTTAAACCTGCATCTATCGTACGGCCAGCAGGGGGCGACTATTCTGGTTGCAAAAAGACTCTGTTCCATTAGAAATAATGGTAAAATGACCTTACTTCTCAGCTGATTTATTACCTCAGTAAACACTTTAAGAATGAGTTTATTGTCTCAGTCGCTAGTTTCAGGTCTTCTTCAATACAACATGATGTTCATTTAGTAAATTATGGTCCCATTTAGAGGAAAATAGACCACAAAGCAGAGTATGCTTCAGGGCGGGATAATCAATGATTGACGAGTCGTTACCATGGCGACCTGTCGATCAGGCTAGAGTGACCTGTACCAACAGCACTGTGTAAATTTAACCAGCGCTGTTGAAAAAGCTTATTAGGAGTTGGCTGTTCACTTTCTCTGGTGAGTACATTTAGTTTTAAGCCTGGTGTTCACAAGACAAAGTTGTCAGCCTTGTTAACATGAATTACAGATGCACCTAGCTAAGCAAGCTAGCTAGCTCCGCACACAGCCGTTAGCTCCACCATCTTGTCCAAATATGGTCACGTCCGGTGCCGCTGGTTACGAAAACTCAACATGGCTGCCAAACTCGAGGCTTTCTAACGGCAGGCTACAAACCAACGGGTGACTTCACGATGACTACGTCCACTTTTTATACACAGGCTATGGTCACGCCCACAGAGCCCTCTGGTCCCAGTTACACAGACCACTGGAGCAGCAACAACAAAGCAACAATGACAGAGGAAAGGCCACAACTGTAAGATAGTTTCAATGTTCATCCCACTGTTGTCATTCCAATCTGAGTAATGGTTTAACATTTTAAAGTAAATCAAACATCTGGCTGGTGATGAAGCCTACAGAACATTCCCCACTTATAAAACTTATAAACACTTTGGCAAAATAAACTGCAGAAGTAGTATGAAAGAAGACTGTTGCTTTATTATTCTAAATAGACATTACATTGTTAGTGTACAGTTGTGGTTATAGTAAGTTACTTGCTTTTAATGTGCATATTATTTTATATAGTTCCAAAGCAAAAATCTGTTAAAAAGTTAGACGTTTTAAAGTTAAAACCTACTTGGCAATAAATCTTATTCTGAGCTTATTGTTTTGGGTGATAAAGCCTTTTATCTTGGAGCAGCCCCTCTGTAGTTATCTTTGTATTCTTGGTTTTGAGGTCTCATGGATGATGCTGGCTTCACACCTGCCTCATTTAGTTTGGCTGAATCGCACTACAGTTTGTTTTCCCCCTTTTACACTCGGGTGCGCAACAAACAAGCGTACCAAGACCTCTTTCAAGAGATGGTCTCGGTACGCTTTCAAACGAACTCTGGTGCGGTTCGCTTGTGGTGTGAAAGCAAAAGAACCAACCACAGGATTTTATGTTAGCAGAGATGTGATCTGTGCATTATTCCCAAAGCTAAACCACTAATAAATCCATCCATGAAATGTGCCCAGCGATCTTATAATTGATCTGTATAAGCCATGCTATGGCTATGAAAATTATTTGTTAATGTGTACTTGTCAGTGCATGTATTTCCCTGATTAATAGGTCAAAATCTGTTAAAATAGGAGGGCAAGTACTACTGTCAGCCCTGTCAGTTCACTCAGTCCACAAAACATCTGTGACAGCAATGCCACAGCATATAGACTAATAAGCCCTGAATTATTACTGTACATGTCCTGTTTAACATCTAACATTACTAATCATGCTAAAAAATAAATTATACTCAGTGAGCTCTTTGCAATATAGATCAGAAGCATTCAAGTGCTCCATAAAATTCTGTCAGTCACCAGAGTTTGATTTCCTCATGTGTCCTGATGATGCAGGATAACAATCAGCAAAGCTGTCCAATCAACAAGTTAGCTGTAGATCTGAATAACATCATGGTTACTTCTATTGGTAACATTAGCTAGTTAGGCTGTGTGTTGGAGATCAGTAATTGACTTAAAAGATATTTAATTAGTTAAATGGTTTAATTAGAGTTAGGGTTAGGGTGTGACAAAAATAATTGCGACTAGTAGACTAATCGAATAAATAATTAACAGATTTGTCAACGACAAAAATAATTATTAGTTGCAGCCCCGGTATTTATACATATAAAAATTTTTTATATATAAAAAAAGTATTTATTTAATGCCGTTTCTATGCAGATGTAATATGGGTATATAGGAGCTGCATAAAAGAGAGCTTACAACTGTGTTAGAGCAGTGCTGCAGGACAGCAGTACGACAGCTCATCACACACTTAGAGACAGTAGAGCCTTAGTTCTTGTTCTCAGTGCACCATCCACCCCCACTTCCTGTGACCGTGGAGCATGTTCAAACTCCTGGACCACTCCCTAAAACATCTTTCTCTTTGTTTGTAATCCATCCACCTCCTACCCAATCCACTTCTATTTCACTCTTGTGCCTCCACTTAATACTAAGTATCTATGTAAGCATATAAAGTACCGTTCTTCAATCTTATGAGCACAACAAAAAACAATGAATGCATATACAGTATTTCTAGAGTGGAGATGAGGTTGCGGAGTTTTGCACACTGAGCTAAACAAGTCCAAAGGAAAAGGAGATGGTTTAGCTGTTGTTTACATTTCTACCACTCCCACTCTGCACCATTTTCCTCTCTTTCTCTCCCGTTCAATCTCCTCTTCTCTGCTCTCTCACTACACATACACTCTCTCTCTCAGTATGAACAATGCCTCTCTGACGAGAACCCAGAATATCTTATGATGTCACTCAGGAGCTATGTGGCAGCTCTGACTGTGGCCACTCCCCGCAAAGCATTCTGGGACAAGCAGTCACAAAGAGAAAACACCATGGCAAAGCTTTGCTGGCTGGTGGAACTACTTTCATTATATTTCTCTTAGCTTTGTGGCAAATGTGCATTTGGCAAGATGTACACTGCATGCTTTTCCAAAATAGGTAGTGTGTGTTCAAGTACTGCACCTTTGCACGGTTGCTGCGTTGTGTGTTGTTGTTGTTCTGGGTGGTCAGCTCGCTGTCTGTGTCTTCATCAGAGGCTACGCTGTCGTAGTCATGCTGGTCATCATCAATGCCCAGATCCAATGGGTCTGACAAAGGAAAAATGTGCTTATGTAAGACACTTCCCAATATACAGAACGCTCAGAGTGCTGACTGACAGCCAACTTTCTTTCCCACTTCTTTCAATGACGGCTCCATGTTGGTTTCACATACGAACCAGTTAGTAAGTCAAATTCTTATGCAGATAGAGAGACACCGCCTGGTCTGGCACAAATGCAGCTCTGTAAGAAACCCTTAAGAAATCCCCCTTTTTAGCCATTAAAGCTCCGTATGGCTGTATAGAGAGGTACTGTGTCTACCCATATTTGTGAGTAGGTTAAGTTTCATGCCCTTGTTCTTTGCTCTTCTTCAAAAAGCATTATAATTGCCTTCAGCCCTCCCTCCTATCGGTGTGTCCGTTCCTCTCAGTGTCTCACCTGTAGGGCTGGTGAGACCTTTCCCCTGCTGTCTTCTTTTGGCGTCACTCAGGATGTCGATGATGAGCGTGGCAAACTCCCGAGCATTGAAACGGGCCAGCTTCTGACGGCCCTGGGAGAAGAACCAGTCGGGAGTTAGGACTTAGACATTACACAGACAGTCCACACTGGTGGGACCCTCTTATACTAAAAAGTTCTGAAAGCTGTTGTGGAATACAGATACAATCCAGCCCACATTCAGTGGTTCATTGCCAGTGTGACTACTGTGGTCAATGACCATGTGCTGTGGAAAAACACAGTCATACTTCGCAACACACACACACACATCACGAGTCTGCTCACACATACACAAACATGAGGAAAGAAACATAAACCGTGCAATTACACTAGCATGCTGGCATCCATATAACAGAAGTGCGAAACTACACAACACAAAACGATGTGCTATTCAGAACACTTTGGAAGACAAAGGAAGGTAAAAAGTTCAACTCTAAATCTGTGCATTTTTCTTCTGGTTCCTAAATAGACAGCAGTTTCTGTCCACAGTGCACTGCCCAATCAGGGGAGAGCAAACGTGGCCATGTGGGTGTTTTCCCTGTGTGTGTGTGTGTGTGTGTATGCTCGTGTTAAAAGTCAAAACACTAATGAGCCACACAGATGAGGACAAACTAAGTAGAAGGACATTTGGGATTTCTCTCTCACACACAGAGAGCGAGCAAAAGAGGGAGGAGAGCTAGATAGAGCGAGAGAGAGAGAGAAACACAGATGGATTACATCTTCCCTCCTCTTTCACAGCTGAGGAACATCCCTTGTCAATTTCACACTCATTCTCAGCCCCCCCCCCAGCCCCCAAACATATACTCTGTCTAACTGTCTAAGATATCACAAGGCTCTATTTTTTTCCTTTCTTCTAGCATCTTCTTTCTCTCAGATGTGTCATCATCTACAGGCAAACAATATCCACAATACAAATGTATATGCATGCCACCTGTGATTATCTGCACAACAGGTTGATGTATGAAGAAGAGTTTGTATTTTTACCTGGTTGCGTGTGGCAGAGTATTCAGGATTGACCGGTAGGAAGGGCACCGCGCTGCGTTCTGTTACCAGAGTGCTGTGGTTCTGGGTCGTGAGCCACACTGGAGACACAGACATGAAGCAAAAAGCAAGTCTCTGTGTTTGTGCGCGTTTAATATGGAACATGGGCAGCCAAGCACACCAAGTCCATCCACCCACACATGCATACACACATAAACAAAGCACAGTTAAAAAAACAAAAACACACAGTGGATCCTAAAACTGAACTCCGGCCTCTATAATCCACCTCTGTGCTTTGAGCCCTCCCCCTTTATGTGCGGTTGAGTGTGTACGTGTGCCTTGTTTGTATCCTTGCCACTTACCTGCGGTCCTTCTGTCAGAAAGCACAATTTTAGTGCTGCTGCTGCTGAAGGAAAGAGAGAGAAGAGAAGGAGACAGAGCGAGAAAGAGGAGGAGGAGGAGAAGAGAGACTCAAGAATTTCTGAGGCACTTCCTCACTCCGTCTTTCCTCCTCCCTCCCTCCCTCACTCACTCCATTTGGCCTGTCTCTTCAACAGTCATTTTCCTTTTTCTCCTCACTCTGTCCTTCAAAAGCTATCTGTCCTCTCAACATCTATTTTCTCAGCAATTTTCTCTCGCCCCCCTTTTCTTCTCAACGCTCACGCCAATAATGCTTCATCGAGGTGTTTTCAATTTTCTTTCAACACCTAGTTTCCGTGTAATGGGGAAAAAAGTCAAAACACGGGACAGATATTTCTACCTTACAAGGGAACAAAAGAAGAAAGTGCGGCGGGAGGAGACGAGGCTCACCTGCGTCGTTTTCTCTGCGATCTACCTCGTCATAGACGTCCATCGCTAGCTCCTCAAACAGCCGATTGTTGAGCTATCACACACACACACACACACAGATAAAACAAAAATCAACCCCAGACATATCAACAAGTGTATCCGTACGTGCCTACACATCGGCGGTGTGAAAAACAAGAGAGAGAGGAACAAAACAGACATGAAAACAATCTGATGTACCTGTAAACATTTACTTCGTATGTTGTCTAATTTTCACTCGACCATTTTGGATTAATTGCATTCTGTGGGGATAAACAGATGGCCTCGGAGCTGACAAACAGTATTTTGGCAAGGAACAGAAAATCTTGCTGTTATGCCAACCAAATTTTTTGCCCTTTTTTAATTTTTTTTTTTACCAATCACATATTTTTTATGTATTACTTTCAAGGCCACAGGGAAACTGGCTTAATCTATAAAAAAGATGTAACTTTGACCTTGACGACTCTAACAGAGTCTATAGAATTGTAAAGTAACAATTAGCCACTCACCGCTTGGAGCTTCTTCTTAGCAGCCTTGGCCAGTTCTGAGAGGTCCAGACTAAAGAAACACAGAGTCAAAAAAAAAAAAAGAAAAACAGTCAGACGGGCACCACAAAGATACAGTGGAACAAAGAGATGGAGGGAGAGGGAGGGAGGAAGATATGGAGAGAGGAGCAAGAGGCGAGGAGCTGGGAAGGGTGTTTGGCTAGGGAAGAGGCACAGGGAGAGCACTTATGGGGTTTGAGGAATGTGTTGGGTGTCAGATCAAAAGGCCATTTGACATTTTGAGACATTTAAACCTGAAATCAACTCTCTGCAGTCCCAGGGACAGGGTGCATCTGTGAGTTTACCAGCTACAGCTAGACAGCTAAACATTTTAAAATCTCAAGAATACTATGTCAGTAAAAATTAAACTTTCTTATATGTTGCTGTAAACTCAGTTTCAAGTGTGTTTTTATTACACAAACATAAAAGAGCTACATGTCAAAGTCATTTATTTTATTTTTTTTAGGTAGACTTAACTTATTTCAGGACTAACTAAGTTCACTAAGGATCAGTGGCAGACAGTAATTAAGTACATTTACTCAAGTACGGTACTTAAATACAAATTTGAGGTACTTGGACTCTACTCAAGTATTTTCTTTTCATGCCACTTTGTACTTCTACTCCACTACATCTCAGAAGGTAATATTGTACTTTTTACTTCACTACATTTGTCTGATGGCTTTAGTTACTAGTTACTTTACAAATTAAGATTTTTACACACAAAACATGTGAAGACTTCATAAAATATTTTCTGTTGTAAATGAAACTATAGCTGACATCATTATTAGATTGACATTGAAATTAACTGGCAACAACTTTGATTGTTTAGGATTTTTTTCATGTAAAAACATTTCATGGTTCAGCTTCACATATGTGAAGATTTGCTGCTTTTCCTTTTAATTATTTTTATTAACATGTAATAAATTTGAACTTTATAGTGTTGGTTAGACAAAGCAAGTGTTGTGAAGGTGTGACTTTGGGCTCTGGGCTCACTATTTTAAAAATCACGAAAATCAATTAATAGAGAAAGGAGGCCCTCTGAAACTCTAGAGAGATATAGATATTTTCCTCTCAGAAATAACTGTGCAGCTCTATTTTGTAGTGATAACAGATTAAGGCCACTTAATCATCCCACTGTGAAACCGCTGAAGCTTACTGTGGTGTACAACAGGGAAATCTATAAAAGATGGGGTAGCAAAGAGAGGGATTTAAATGAAGGAAGAGACTCTGGGGGGGGGGAAAGGAACAAGCAAAGTAGAGATACCTCTGTGTCGGGCACTTAGGACGAGCTCTGGCTCCACCAAGCGCAGCGAAATGGAGAGAACAGAAGACGAGTGAGAAAAAGGAAGAAAAAGAGAGAAAGAGGGGTGGAGAAGCCACATCAAAACAGCTTTAATTGTTATTGTCAAGAGGAACCATTCACCAGAACAGAACAGATGCAAGTGGAGTTAGATGGCAGCTCAGAAGACCCTCTTAAGCAACAAACACAATATGAGGGGCACTTGGTTTATATGCCTAACATTTACAACAAATGCGAGCATTTTAGCTACTTCTTTTGACTCAGCAGAGAAACCCGAGCACCCATCAAATGTTAGAAGGAAGCTGAGCCAAGTAACACAGAATTTGATTTATCATAACCTTACTGTGCGCTTCGGCACCTCTCAAATCAAACCTGCAGTTTACGATCAATAAACCAAGGACACCCAAAGTACCTAAATCACTCCAGGTACCTGTAACAGTTTAAATCATCATTTACATTAAACAACCAGCTTTCAAAGAGATGGGAGGGGGGGGGGGTTAGATTTGGTGCCACCCACTGGTCAGAACACTAAACTGCATTAGTGCCAAGTAAGCCATGCCAGGGGAAAAAGAAGCAGTCATAGAAGTATGACAAGTCAGGTACCTGCAAAATATACATGCAATCAAACCACACCATTCATGCAAAAACAGGGCACTCATAACCACGTTAATGCCAAACAATGATGTCCTGGCCCATACCTGTCTGCCATTTGAGGGATGATGTAATGGCCATTCTTGTGATCTGAGAAGAGAACAGGAAAGGACACTTAATAACTACTTAACTTCTATGCTTAAGGCCACATGAGATGCACACAAACTGGTTCAGCGGGTTACCTGGGCGCCGTCCACAAAGGTAGAAGGCTAGTCTGTCCGTCAGTTCGTACTGACACTCTACCAGCCGCTCTGCTAGCTCTATATGTCCCGCTTGCCTGGAACACAGACGCAAACTCTAAATGTTCTACTTTCTTGTTGGGTTTTTACTGTTTTGCTTTTCCCCTCACCGTACTTATTCGTGAAGTGTGTTTCCACTGTCTTGTACCTTGCGTAGTCCATCGGTGTGCGTCCGTTGATGTCAGGTGCTCCGGGGTCCGCGCCGTACACCACTAGTAGCTCAGCCTGCAGGATCTGGCCTGCCTTGGCTGCCACATGGAGAGGGGTAGTGCCTTTCTCCTGGAGGGTCAGGTGGACACACAAGCAGAGTCAGGACAGGAGGCCTGGCATAAAGAGAGTAACTGAACAGAGTAGCTAATTATAAGATGTAGTGAGTCAGCGAGGAGTGTTATTTTTTTCCTGACCGGGTGGAAGAAGTTGGCCTGGGCGCCGAGGGACAGGAGCCGAAGACACGTCTCTAAACTCCCCGTCCGCACGCTTGAATGAAGTTGCTAACAGAGAAACAAAGAGGAGAAAGAGAGTGTCAAGAGTGAAAAGATTAAACATCACTGAGAGACATAAACAGGCAGAATCCCCTTATTAGCCCAGTGGAGCTCCACAGCATTAGAGATCATTATCACACCCTGCTGTGTCATTGAGGTCACCTCCTGCCAGGGGGTTATATCAGCGAGTGTGCGTGAGTGTGTGCTTGTGTGAGTGTGTACATGCACAGGTTTACATGTGCGGCCTCCCACTGACATCTGAAAATTGAACATCCTTTGTGCTTACACATGCAGTTCAACAATATGGCAATGTCCGTAGAGGCCAATCAACCTGAACTCATAAGTTGTCCATCCCCCGGCTGTGAAATACTGAGCTCTCACCTTACTGAGGTCCTTGGTAGTGAGGCCATCATCATCGCGGCAGGGCAGCTTGTGCACAAAGGCCAGCATCTGGTATTTGGCTCTGATGAACTCTGACTTAGTGGGACTGCACGGGGAAGATAGTAAGATGGTTAACAAAATTCAAACCTTAGAAAAAGTACAGTAAAATGTGGGGAAATCATATTTGCCAGTACAGTACAGGTCACTGTGTCACTTAAATTATGCTCTACAAAACTAATTTTAACTTGTAGGTTTTTCCTGAATGTCACATTGCTGGTGTGTATTTTGAATGTTTTCACTTCTCTCCTTTTGATTAGGTGAAAACCCCACTCTCTTATCAAAGTAAAAGCCTCGAGGTAAAAACTAGTCGCCTTAACAAGACAGCAAGGCCTGAGCGGAGTTCCTTCACATTTTAATTGAATGAGCCAGAATTGATGGGATATTACTGATTTCCTGCTTGTTTACAAAGACGTTATACACTACAGTACATTAAGAGGTTGTGCACAATGCGCTTCCACACATTTCTGTAAGTTAAACTTTCAGTGTAGGGCTGCAGAATTAAAAGGCTATCGAAACCGAAATTCAAAGCCTCTTACCAACGTAAATATCGGTTATTTAATCCTGGTAAGATTGTGTGTGTTCATGTACTTTCCACTTGAAACACCGCGTGTGTAGTCACGTGACCCCCCGCCCCGTCCATTTCCTGCTCAGCCTTCAGACCATATTCTGAAGCAGAGGGAGATGTTAGCTAGCGCTAACCGCCTTCATTTTCTAGCAGCTGTGTAAACGACAGACTAACGGACACACTGTGATCTAATGTTACACTGTACATTTACTGCCAGACTGACTTGTTACTGGCTTTCAGCGTCACTTTTGCCGCTCTCTCTCTCTCTCTCATTAGCTCGTCCACTCACTCGCTACGCAAACACGTCGCACTGCAGTTAAAATACCTTACTCCGCTGCACCTGTCGCCTATATGTACTTTGATGAATGAGGAGCATCATTTTAGGTGAAATCAACTAGCCCTAGTTCAGTGTGTAAGTTTAGTGGCATCTAGTGGTGAAGGTTGAACCTTCCAAATACACAGCTGGCCAATCACAGCGCAGTATATGTCTCGATCTAGCTGAGGTCCGACACTTTCATGGCAGTGCTCCATTGACTCTAATGCAAAAGGAGTCGTTTTCTAGCTTTTTTTTTTTGCTGTTTTTACAAAATATGGTTAAACCATAGACTGTATATAAGAAGGAAAGTGTTTACTGGAGTAATAATTCAGCTGAGAAGTAGGGTCATTTTCCCATTATTTCTAATGGAGCCGGACTTCTTTTTGCAACCAGAAGAGTCGCCCCCTGCTGGATTTTCAATAGAATGCAGGTTTCAGGGACTTCCGCATTCGCTTCATATTGTAGACTGGAAGCTTCCCGCTTGGGTTAAATGCTTTTCTTGGGGAAGTTGTAATAATTAAAATCACTACCCAGAGAGGTTTAAAGGAGAAGTACGATTTATTGTCTTTCTAAAACCAAAAGCAAATCCAGAAAAATGTAGGCTGTGGATTGTTTGTAATGTAATGTTAGTTAGCTAACGCTAGCTAACTTGCTACTGAATGTAAAGTTATATAGCCCTACTGTTCTACTTTTTAATGAATGTAATAGTGAATAGAGACCTATCCAGCTGTACAGGAACAGTGTTAATCCTTAATATCATCCTATTTCTCAACAGACGGAAAATACGGTGGTTCACTTCTACTCTGTGATCGGTAGGCTTTAGCTTGTTTTTATTTTTTTCACCTTAGTTTGACCTTCAAATGCACAATGCAACTGCAAAACTGTCTGCTTCTTTCTGAGATCGCTTTTTCCAAAAATTAGACAATATTTCTCCAGGTAGTGCAGTTATAGACAATGGCAGCGTCGTGATAAAAGTCCGACAAGTCCAACCGTTTTTCGGATTTAGCGACAGTAACTAAGGGGAGCTTGGCTTAGCGAAGGATCAATTGTAACCCACGGCTCACAGATTGTGAAATTTCCTGAGTTGTGATGTCATATCAGAGCGTATAAAACAACACACAGACCAATACAAAATCTTATTTCCGGTGGCGCTGCTCGGCTGGCGACACGGACTCATGCTGTTGCTGGTATCTCTTAAGTTTTTGAGAGGATTAGACACTTGATTTTTAATTTTCAAGATCAGTTAATTTCTAAAGTAAGTCGTCGACATGGCGATATTTATAAGGCTTTTTATTGGTTTGTTTATCGCGCATCTGGTAGCAGTCTGTTACTCGCACACAATGGCGTGCAGGTGGAGCAACGACCAAACACTAACATACACGAGAGAGGATCTGCTTCTGTACCGTTCAGTTGATTACAATCCGCCTGTGGACCTTCTGGATTGCCTGAAAGCTAGGAGAGTGGAAAGCAAACGCCGGCGGAAAAGAGGTCAAAGAGGTGGCGTCAGACAGCGTTTTCGACGACGCGGTTGCAGACCGCCGTTACCTGCAATTATCCTGAGCAACGTTAGATCGTTACAACAAAAGATGGAAGAACTACGCATCAAAGCTAAAGCATGCTTTGAGTTCCGGGACACAGGCCTTCTGGTGCTCACTGAAACTTGGCTTCGCCCTGAGATGCCCAGCTCGCTGATAGAGGTACAAGGTTTCTCTCTTATTCGGGCGGATAGATCTGCCACCTCGGGGAAGAGCAAAGGCGGTGGTATCTGTGTGTTTGTAAATGACCGCTGGTGTAGTCATACGACAGTTAAATCCACGGTATGTAATCAAGACATTGAACTCTTATGTTTAAGTTTGAGACCCTTTTACCTACCCAGAGAGTTTGGGAACATTTTGATTTGTGTTGTGTACGTCCCTCCGTCGGGCAAAGCAGCAAATGCCGTGAGCATTATAAGAGACTGTATTCAGGTTCAACTTCAACATACACCTGGAGCTCCTGTCTTCATTCTCGGCGACTTTAATCATTGCTAAATGGAGTCTGCCCTCTCTGGGTATGAACAGTATGTTAAAGACAATACAAGACTTAATAGGATCTTAGACAAATGCTACGGGAACATAAAAGAAGCATACACTTCCAGATCTTTTCCTCCTCTGTCTAACTCTGACCACAACATTGTGTACTTAATCCCAACATATAAGACTCTGAAAAGACACAAACCTGTGGTTAAGAGTGTTAATGTGTGGTCGAATGACACTGTTGAATCCTTGAAAGGTTGTTTCCTTTGTACTGATTGGGAAGTTTTTCATAGTGATGATATTGATGAAACCACAATGGTAACGACAGATTATATTAAATTTTGTACGGATAATGTAGTACCAAAAAAGGAGGTGATCATTTATGCAAACAATAAGCCCTACATAACTAAGAAAATTAAAAGCTGTATTAAAAAAGAAACTAGCCTTTCATAACCAAGATCGCCTTGCAGTAAGATTAGTACAGAAGGAATTGAATGGTCTATTGAGGGAGGCCAGGAATAAACAAAAAGAACTTTTGGAGAACAAGCTAAATATGTCTAACCCTAAACAGCTTTGGGACTCTATGAAATCAATAACAAATATGCAGCCTTCACAGAAATATGTATCTACTTCAGATGATCTACAGAAAGCCAATGACCTAAATAATTTTTATTTAAGATTTGAGAAGTGCAGCCAAACTCCTGCAAACAGCCTTAGCGATATAGAGACTTCTGGTGTTCTTAGAGAAAGGTTGCTGATTGATGCTAATCAGATAAACCATTATTTTAAACACATTTGTCCTAACAAATCGGCAGGCCCGGATGGAATTTCAGCCTACATCTTAAAAAATTTTGCTGATGAATTGACTCCAGTATGGCTTCCTATATTTCAACAATCTCTGGACATTGGTACTGTTCCTAGCCTCTGGAAAAGGGCTGTAATCATACCGGCCCCGAAGATAGCCAGGCCCGTAATAAACAATGATTTTAGACCGATTGCGTTAACGTCTGTGATTATGAAATGTTTTGAAAAGTGTATTGTGTCAATGTTAAAAGCAGAGGTTGCTAACAACCTAGATCCTTTACAGTTTGCCTATAGGCAGGGGAGGGGAACTGAGGATGCTATTATTAGCATTATGCACCTAATTCTGAAGCATTTAGAGAATCACAAAGCCTATGCTCGTTTACTTTTTATCGATTTTAGTTCGGCCTTTAACACCATTCAAACACCCTTGTTAATCTCAAAGATGGAGCAGTTGAGTGTAAACCAAGCTATCATAAAGTGGTACTCTTTTTTAACTGACAGAATTCAGTGCGTTAAAGTAAACAATTGTCTTTCACAACAAAGAAAGACTAGCACAGGTGTCCCACAAGGCTGTGTCAGTTCTCCAATTCTTTTTACTTTATTTACAAATGATTGTTCAAGTAAGCATTCAAAAAACTATATTTTTAAATATTCAGACGACACAGCCATCTTAAGTCTTCTCGATGAAGACGATAATATTAGAGATGTATACCTGCCAGAAATAAGTCAGTTTGTTGAGTGGTGTGATAAAAATGATCTAATAATAAATATAAAGAAAACAGCGGAGATCATATTCGATCCAAAAGGTATTGGGGACCATCATCAAGTGGTCATACATGACCAAAACATCACCCAAACGCAGACTTACAAGTATTTGGGTGTTTATATAGACAGCTCACTTACTTGGAAAACTCACACGGAATGGGTTTGCACACGGCTGCACCAGAGGCTATATTTTTTACGTAGATTACGTTTTTATGGGGTGAATAAGAAAATTATGATGCTGTTCTACAAGGCTGTTTTAGAAAGTATTGTTAAGTATGGTGTTACAGTATGGTTTGGGAACCTATCTATACAGCTAAAATCCAAATTGTCACATCTGGTGTTGACAGCTCTTAAAACAGTTGGAAATGAGGAATCTTTGAATCTCCAACAGTTATTTGAGAATAGCACTTCAACGCGTCGGCCCACCGTTAGTCCAAATTTCACTTCTCTTCTTACTTCTATTAAACCACACAACGACTACTACTATTAATAGTATTACTACTTCTTCTCCTTCCAATCGTATTCAACATGGTGACGAAACATGCTCTATAGAGCAGTTTTTCAGTTTGGGTTACTGTAGAAACATCGCGACTTCCATGTAAGGGTACCTGCGGTGTATGTAGTTAGAAATGGCTCACTGTAAAGAAATAAAAACAGTTCATTATGTAAGGTCTTGTACACTACTGAATATATAGTTTTGTATATTATATTGCATTTCTGTCAATACATCCTCCTGAATATTACACACTGAACCTTTAAACAAAGTTTTTTCCAGCAGATCCAATTCTTGATCTCATGACCCTCCAACGGTCTCATTTTAACCCCCAAAAAAGAACAAACCTACACTGACAAAACTTATCCTGTATTTAGTTACACAAAAAGCCTACGAGAACAGAACACAATTAATTAGGAAAGTGATGCATGACTGAGAAAAAACTGTTAAGAGGGCAACCCGTTAACAACCAACTGGGTGCAATTGCTTTTTACTACCGAAAACATCAATCATGTTCAGAAAGGTTATATATCCCCCAGATAAAGATAATTTCTCCCAGCAAAGGTGATTGGGGGAGGAGATGTGCGATGGCTTTGTTGTGCATCTTTCGAGTCTGTGGGGTGTATACTTACTGGACTTTGTCCTGGGGGTTGGGTTTCCTGCGACCGCTCTGCACCTGAGCAGGGTCCAGGAGACTGTGTTCCCATATGGAGTTGGCCCCATTACTGGCCAAGGTCTGAACCATCTGAAACACACACACACACACACACACACACACACACACACACACACACACACACACACACACACACACACACACACACACACACACACACGGCAGTGACTCAGTGATGGTTCACACAATGAGAGAGTAACTCTGGGGAGTAAAGTCACCATACAGCCCTAAAGCAATACTCTGTTTTGAATGTATTGCTTTTAGACTGACCAAAAAGTTCAACATGATGCACAAGCGGAGGATTAGACACAATATTAACAGAGAAAATACAAACTTTATTTTCTTCTGAATAAATGCTGATGGAAAACCTTTGGTAACAGATTTGCACTCTTGAACTGGAATCAGCTTCTGTACCAGTCCTCACCTTCTGTGGTAGTAATCTGGGCTTCAGGTACTGCATTTACTTTCAGTCCTACTCTGATCACTCTTCATTTCTCAGCCTTACCTGCAGTAGTGCGGGAGGCCATCCACTGTGCCTCAGGTGCTTGACTATGGAGATATGGCGGCCTAAGCTGCGGTGGACTGAACAGCATTCATCACAGATCAGGACCCCTCGGTTGATACTGGTCCAGCCCGGATCTGACAGACAAACAGAAAGAAATGGATGGTATTACAAGCCTTGTAAAACAAGCCTTGTTTCATTGTAAGACTTTTCACCAAAGTAAAGAATCTTAAGTGCTTCAGCGCAACAGTCAATTCAGTCGAGCATGACCACTCCAACTCTGTGCTCTCCATCTTACAATAGACCCCTCTATGTGCATGTAGTGTAATTTTGGGGGCCTAAATGACAGTTTTTCTTCCACAAGAATTCAAGGTCAAGTCAAACATATGCTCCTTGAGTCCTTATTTCTCAGTTGCCAACCTGCATTAAGAAGTGTTAAATGAAATATGTGGATACCACGTACACACAGAGATACAAACATTTGGTTGAGCACAGCAAAAAGAGTAAAGTCTGTCACCAAAACTCCAATTGATCTGATCCTTTTAAATTTCAAAAATGAACGTGGAATTACATATTCTATGTATAATGCCCATTAATAGCAAAGCTGGCTTGCACTATAGAGGATATGAATCTTTGTAGTGAATTAAACAGCTGTGACAACACAATAGTTTTGTAATTAGGAAAATTTCTGAACTTGAGTTAATGTAAGGACTGGGCAATTAAGACAAATGTGATTTTATAATAATAGTGACATGAGCATGAATACTGTCAACAATCTGATTACGTGAAGAAAATATGCATAACATTGAATTATCAGCCAGCCATCGTGAGTTGCTACAGTTGGAAGATGCTATGTGGAAGTATCAAATACTTGTATAAAGTTGGATCACACACACAATGTGTATTCCATATGCTGGGTTGTACTATAATTCCCCTTAGCCCAGCATACTCATACAACATCGTTACTCGCTAGTGAACTAATGCATGAACAGACCCAGCTATAAGTGCTTGACCAATGTAGGTATTTAAACCTATAAGAATTATTCAAAGTCACCTCAGAGTTGTACAAAACTGGAGAAAATAAAGTGCAGTAAGAAAGGCTGAAGGTCTAAGTACACTGTGATTTTGTGACTTTTTTGATACTCAAAAATTCAAATCAGTTGTAAAATAAATCAGTAATAATAAATTAGTTAATCAATCTTGATTACCTATTGTGATGTCAAAGTAATGTTACAGTAAATCAGTAAAATGTAAGAGAGATGTCACAGTCATGAGCAGCTTGGTATAAGACTCATTGGCCCTACTAGTACTAGACAGTAGTCTTCTTCCCAAGACAACTACCTGAGTCTTATTTTTCAAATACGAATAGATGAGTGGGAATAAAGTGAGGATAAGAGGGGAAGCAGCTAGGGCCAATGCCAGTCTACTGACACTGGCAGACTAGTCACAGAGTCTGGGTCATGTTTACATCCTCAGGACCCTGCTGTGATGAGCAGCTCACAACTAACACAGCTTGCTATATCAAAACAAATACATGCACACGACGCATGCACATGATGCATGCACGAACACACACATCTACTGTCTGCATTAGTCACTAGCAGGCTGGGATAAACCTGTCTTAGCTTAGGGTATTAATGGAGCTAAAATGGTCCATCATCAGATGAACCGACGTGCTGTAAGTCTTTTTGCCCGTGGAAAATGTAGGAGCAAATGCAAAATGGCTTTGATAAGAGCTATAGCCTAGTTTCAAACAGTAGCCCGTAGGCTTTAAAGGCCGAATTGCAGCAATTTAATTCCTTAATCCGTGTAATAAATATAAAAACTCCCAAAGGCTACACTATCTGCTTGGCTCGCTGGATCAATATGAGGCTACACCATTAAGCTATTAGGCCTGAGTAGACTATTGGCAGTGGCATATTGGCCAAATCTTTAGCATGACACACTTTAGCCTAAAGTTCACTTATTCATCATTTCAACATTCATATTTGTTTTTATAACGGTCACTATGGCCAGCATAAAAGTATCATACTGAGTATTAACAGTGAATAATAGCATTTAAGTTTGGAAAACTCTTGCTGAAGTAAACGCTATACATGCTGCTTGCATTTACATTATTCGTCTGGTAACTGCTAGGTTTCTACACTAACATTTATCACAGGTTCATTCATATTTTACACTGGAGGAGTCTCACAGCTCTAACCAATCATTGAAATATCCAGGAGCAACATGTAGGTCCACTTGCTGGCCCAAGTCACTAAATGGGTGTTTTTATTCCCTCTGAAGTTTGCCTTTTAATTTTGACCAAACACCACTCACAATATCAACAGTAAAACACGACAATATAACACATAAAAGACTTGGGCCGCACTGTCAAACTGCTCTCAATGCTTTCACAGCAGTCTCACTTTCTTATACAATTGCATATATGCTCAATGAATACTTTACTATCATGACAACATGATTCATTGTTGCTATAAAGTGTGCAGATTGCCACAGCGTGACATTCAAGCCTCCTGCAGCTTGGCTAGGACTGGGAGTATCAGTCGTCCTTTGTAGCCAGGCCATGGAGTTATCCCCTAGTATGACACAAAGCTGGGTAGTAGGGAGGTGGCCTGTCACCAGTGGCTAGGTCAGCATTTTGCAGAACGCACTGTGTGTGTGTGCATGTTGTCATAAGGAGGGGCTACATGCACAGGACCGATTGTAGTAGAAGAAATATACAACTGGCTAACCACCATTGTGAAAAACCTGTCATTTTATTTAAGGAAGCCCAAGTATATAGGCTCTTACAACAAACACACATCTTTGCCTTTTCCCTAACAGGATTCATTTTTCAGGGACATAACACATTAATCATAATGTAAGTTGCTATGGGATTCGTTGAAAGTGGGGTTGGTTAGTGCTAATCAGAGTGTGAAGTGAGAAATGCAACTGATGGGGCATGAGGACAGAGAAGGTAAGTGTAGAGTAGCAGCAGGGAATAAGTTAAGGTCATAAAGCAGTAGCAAGGTGTACCCAGCAAGATTTTGAACATTGAGCAGTAGGGCCCTCAAGCTTATAGACAAGTTTTGTACACACACCCACACTCATACTGCTATCAGAGGGAGCAGCTGTGAAGAGAGCAGCTGTTGTAATGCATGCACACATGAATGAATGCAAGCAATACACACACAAACACACACACACAGGAGCTCCAGTAATCAAGTGCTTCATGCTAAGCAGGAGGTCATGTGAGGTTACATATGCAAGGCTGACGAGATGCCAAGGTTGCTTTGGCATCATCTCTACCTCACTTTGCAACAAACACACATGGGGGCAAACGAGGTCAAACTAACCTACAAATATGAATGTTCATTGCAGTGGTCATACACAACCCTAAGGACAACAAAGCTCTTATCTGACAGGTGAAATTTCAACATATTTCTTTTTTTTTTTTAGCTTCATGCTGAATCAGGTTAAATTTGCCACTCTCAGGCTCCTGTAAGAGTCTCAGCGTTAGTCACTATTTCATTTGTGAACTGTGAAGAAGACTAATAATATTGTGAAATAAGTTAGGTAAATTGTTAGAAACCTCTAAGTTACGCTCTTTCTGGTTGTTCAACAGACAACGGGAAATATCCTAACTAATGTCAGACAGTGCTGAAAGGACTGGCTGGTGGCTGAACAGCTTGACTAAGCAGACGTTAGCAGTAACTTGCCGTTTAGCTACACTAGCTAACGTTGTAGCCAAGCTAGCAGCGTTAGCCAGGTACACGATCTCAAAACGCCGCATGCAAGTGCTAACAATAACACCGCGGTTAAAATATAATCACTGGTGTGTATGTTAGTACATTAGGTGTAAGCCAAATGTTTAATAATAGCCAGCAACGCAGTGAGTAAAAACCGCATGCTCGTTAGCCAGGCTAAGTTATGCTAACGCGTTAAGAAGTCAGTCCCCGGTCACGAAAATCAAAACAAACGTCTCTCCAAGTAGGAAGGCGACGTAAATCTGACACTCAGATCTTCCACTGCAGCAAACAAGCTGCAAGCCCTCACATATGGTCTTGCTCAAACAGATATAACGTTACATGTCACGCTGCTCAACTGGGGTACACTAACGTTGAGCAGCTATTAGCCAGAGCTTTACCCCGTTGGGATAACACGCCTATTTTTCACTGTTTATTTTGGGCCTAAGCGACGCTTGGAAGCCCAGGCCGTTTTCCTGCGCTGCAGACCCGCTGACAGCGACAGCAGCTTCGGCCATGTTGTCCCACCACGTCGCCCTCTCAACGTATTGTTCCAGTACAGTGGTATCTTTTTGATTTATTTTCCTCATCCTTACCTGGCGCACTGCAGTCTGCGCAGACTTCTGTCCTTTGTAGCTTCCTTGACATCTCGAAAGCCGCTGGAATCGAGAGGTGGATGTCGGCGATGATGTGGTGGTTCGCCCTTTTTTCCCCCCGAGCTACCGACCGACGTCTGCCGTCAACCGATGCGGCCCCTGAATCCCCGGAAGCCGGGTGGTGTGATCGGCTTTCCCGGCCAGCTGACAGTTGAATTTCCCGTTTGTTCCTGCGGTCTCCTCGCCCACGTTCGCCACTGAACTCAAGTCCAGAGCCAAGTTATGTGAACATAGTTGATCTGGCTGTTTGCATCAACCTCATATCTGTATATTTACTAAATCTGTTCGCTGCATTGCCTGCAAGTCACCGAGAGACGGCAGCTCTCTACCTGTCAGTTTCTGCACGCACACACCCAACATCCCTGCAGCCTACCTATGGCGGGGCAGGGAGGGGTGACGGGGCAAAAATAATCCCGTCATCCTTCAAGGGTGAGGTGGGTTTCACAGACAATTAAAAATGCGATCAAACTTAGAAAAGTGAACTCACCAAAATGTTTAAAACATACTGGCCAAATGTAGCAATATATTTATGAACGTGATTTAAATTTAGGGTACCAGATCTTAATGGCCTAGATACATTTAACTATAGACAAAGTTGTTATCGCCTTATAATATAAGGATCGGTTCAATGTTATTTAACGCAGATATTTTATATAGCCTATTTGTGAAATTTTAAAGCCCCTCATTAAATTGGCAATCTATCAACAGACCTTATAACTGACATAGGCCCTTCTAATAGGATATTCCTTTAACAAAAGTTTTTGTTTAGGCTACTACAAAAAAGGGGGTTAGGCTCATTTGTAGCGAAATATATGGAAACAGTTTTTATGTTTCTGTTATTATTGTTGTGGTTGTTCCTGTAGTTGTTATGGCATTTGATTTATTTAATTGTGTCATACAGATAACAGCACAATTGTCCAAATGCAACACACACCAAAAAACGACAGATTTAATTCGACACGGGACCTGGACAGTCAATGACAAAATATAGACTTACATTAAATAAAACAAACTATAAACGTATAGTTTGTAACACAAACAAAAGTGTTAGGTCTATGCATAGCCTACAATGAAACATGGCAGACGATAAAACAACACTAAAGTATTAAAGGTTAAGCTGATTTAAACTTCATATTGATGCATTTTAATTCTGAATGTCAGTCAGTATGTGCATAGTCTACTTTTTTTAACCTCTTCAATATAGCAATACGGTATGATTCATGGGGTTATTCTATGTAATTCACCAGGTATGTTTTATCACAACACCCTTGACAGCGGATTGGCTGAGTGTGCGCACATTTCATTGCAGCTTGTCAACGCGTCTCTCCCAGTCACCACCGGATGGGAGGAGAGTAGGAGGATAGATGTGTTAAGAGTAGGTAGCGGAGAAAGAGAGAGGGAGGCAAGAGGTGGAGGAACGGGTGGTCAAGAAATCAAGGTGTAGTCTAATCTACTGAGACAACCAAGCGAGGGGTTTCTTTCCATTAATGATTTTCACGGGGCTTTGCTGTTTATTCTGAAGCAGAGCGAGCGGGGAACCATTCACTCTTCCTGACGCGTAAGGCTGCCCTTACACGCCTTTGGGCATCACCGCCGCTACAGGATGATAGGCTTGATCATATCGTAAATTGATAGCAAAGTAGCCTTACATTCCACAGTGAAGAAGGAGGAGGAGGCAAACTATGATCCGAGGATGATTTCGGCTAAGAAAACTCCGGAGAAGAGTCGTTATCCTATCCACTATTTGGTGTGGCACAACAAACACCGACAGCTGGAGAAAGAGCTGACAACGAACGAGCAGGTGAGACAGAGAAGAGCGATCAAACACATATCTCCTCACAGACAGAGAGGCCCGTGTCTTTATATATAAGCGTTTATATAGGCGTGTGTGTTAAAAGGTGGTGGTATGCCATCCTGGTGCACCTCATTCAAGAGCCTGGTCAATAACTGAGAATAGCGCAGTTAATTATTATCTACAGGGTGGAGGGGGACACTTGTAGACCACATTCTCAGACTTGAATTTGCACTATTGTCTTTTTGTCGTTCATTATGTGTGACATACGCCGTGGATCTGTGTAATTTACTGCATTGGGGCTTAAAATATTCCATCATCCCTGTCATTTTAATATGCATGGGAAGTTATAAACTGGAGTTTATTCCTGGAAATATCCAAATGACTGTAATTACTGACCCTGATGGTGTTGCAGTGTTTATTATGTATGTGTCAGAGTCAGCCTGCTTTATGCAGGTGTGTAAGAAGCATCCTTGCTTGATCTACTCAGAACTGTAGGCTCTCTACCTTCCCACCTGCACCTAAACCATTTGTGAGTGGGTGAGACAATGCAGATACTGAGCATGTGGGCGAACAGTTGCCAACCCACCACAGTAAATAAAGTAATGGAACCATTATGTTATTTTATTAGGTTTTCAGAGAAGATGTTTGTCATAATCAAAAGCATGGAAAATTATTTTTACACACTGGTAAAATTGGATTACTTCAACTTACAGTGACTATCATAAGAATTATACTATTGTGCGTGTGAGAGAGAGAAAAAGGGTGACTGTGCAAGAGCATGCATGCTTTTTTCCCCCTTTGCTAATGTACTGAAATGCTCTGCCATTATATAAGAGATGCTCTGCAGGTTAGCAGCTACACGGATTTATGAGTGCTCGCATCATGCAGTGGTCTCAAGACATCACACCTTCACACACATTTACGCACACTTGCCCACACATGTTTACTTGCTTGCACATGCACACTCTTACGGTCTTGTAGTTATAAAATCATAATCCTGGAAGACTTTTCTTTACACCATCACAATAATAATAATAATAACTGGTCAGCAAGTTCCCCAAAGGCAGCCATCTATTGGCTTAAACACAATCCTTGCATTTATAAATGAGTGTGGTAGTGACATTTACCATTCAACCCGTGACAATAAACTATTGGAAATAAATTGAAAAACTGATCACACCTCACAGTAAAAATGCTCTTAAAACAGACTGAGACCTCTGGTATTTAAGTCGATGTCAGCGGTAACATACCGAATTTCATAGTAAGGGAGCTGGTGGTGCAGTGGTAAGCACTGTTCCCTCACAGCAAGAAGGTTGCGGGTTCAAACCCCAGTTACCTTGGCCTTTCTGTGTGGAGTTTGCACGTTCTCCCCATGTCTGCGTGGGTTCTCTCCAGGTGTTCCGGTTTCCTCCCACCATCCAAAGACATGCTGACTAGGTTAATTGGTCACCCTAAATTGTCCTTAGGTGTGAGTGGTTGTCTGTCTATGTGCCCTGCAATGGCAGCGATTGACGATGGATGGAGGGAGCTGGACATTAGCTATGTATGTTCTTGAGAAAGGAGACAACGAAAACTTTTCAAACTTACGTAGCTTTACAGGTGTTTCATTTTCATACCCTGCTGCCTTAACACTAATTTAAAATAATCAGATTCCTTACTTTGGTGTTTAGTTTGGAATTCATTATTTAATGTATAGGTTCAATGCACAAGGATCCATTTTGAGCCAATAGTTACTCTAGCGAAGTGGCTCTAACCCTGACATTTAAATATATCTTGACAGCTATTGGATGGATTGCCATGAAATTGTGTACAGATCAGATGTTCATGGTCCCGAGATAATGAATCCTAATGACGCTGGGGTTCCTCCCTGACTTTTTATCTAGTACCACCAACTGGTGTAAATCCAGAGCTGGCCTAGCATTTTTGCTGATGCAGGATGCCTCTAAGCCTAGTGACCAAATTCCCAACAGGAATGTATTTTGAAATTTATGCTGAAGCACTGCAGACATCTTGTGTTTTACCCGACCATCTTTGTCAACTCAGTATCACCACCAGAGAAGCACTGCGGCATTCTACAAATGTTCTGCAACATACATATCCATCACTGGTTGGCAAACAGGGCTGACGGCCACCATGTGGGGGGATGCATCTGGCACCACCACGTTCTCTACGAATGAACTGCCATGGAGAAAAAAAGTAATAATGTGAAAAGTAACAGTTGGATGTTTGTCCCAGTTGAGGTGTCAGGTCATCCGTTTCTTAGACGTTACTTTCATTATAGCAGTCTATAATTTATTTTCTGTATAGCTGTTTGTACTGTATAGAACAACCTTGTATTTAATATACTTACATAATCTTTTGACTTGAGAACTACATCACTGTAGTTATAATCTTTGGTAAGTATATCATAACTTTATATCTTTAATCTTTTTATAAACTCAGCCAAAGTGACTGCCTTGTTTGTCCTGCCTGAGAACAAACCAAAATCTGCAACAAGTACATCTCAAGTACCAAAGTGTTATGATGCTGATCCTTAGTAAATCAGCACGATAAGTCTCTCTCCTCTTGTGCTTGTGTATGATAAGGACTTTTTGTATACGACAGTCTCTAGCCAATACCATGGCAAACAAAGGGTCCAATATATAATATTCTGTATGTTGTTCACCACAGTAGAAACGTAACGAAACATTAAAACAACAACACTGTGTGATCTTTAATAACGCAGTATTTAAACAAAGCCATGACATTTATTGTAATGAATCACCTTGCTTCTCGACTATGTCGGATTTCGTAGGTGCCATGTTTTTATGGCTTTAAAGCTATTTAATGCTTTTGAAAGAAGCACCAACAAAATAGAAAAGAGGAAGATGGGCAGAGAATACAACTTTACCACTCAAACACAACTTTACCCATTTTTCACAACAACCATTTTTCCTCACTCTTAGACCCTAAACCCCAGTTATCGGCTATCTGTGTTTGATTGCAGATCAGAGCAAGTTGCGTGGAGACAGGTAGTAAACACCACTGAAAACAAGTGCTTCATTTCTCTCTTCTCTTGTTCCCCTCTCATTGTTGGTGAACTTCTGCTCAGCATTGACTATTCGAAAAATAACCATATGTCTTGCGCTTTTAATTATTTTGTGTCTGTTTGTGTGGGTGTTTGCACATATAAGCATGTATCATGGTTTTGCATGTATTGTACAACCTAGTGCATTTTTTTGCATAGTCAAACACTTTACATCCTTCATGAATTAATATCAGCTATTTAACTAATAAAAGTAGCATATCAGCGTCACACCCCATAACTCATTTTATATCCACTTTATGACACACGTTATATAGAGAACTGAGCCCCTAAACTAGGACGGCACACAAACACCATCATGCTCCAACCAAGGGCTTCTGTCAGTCACAGAAATGAAACACACATGCATACACATGTGTGATGTCAATGACAGGTGTCAAGAAGCATTCTGAATAATTGGCACTTCCATCGCTCTGGTCAGGATTTTTTTTTTTTATAGCTGCAGGCAAGTGATGGAAGTTGAATGCTGAAGGAATAATGAACAAAGTTTTTTTTTTTCAGAAAAAGACAGGGGGAGCAGAGAAGAGGAAGAATAATAATATTTGAAAGACGTGCATAATTCCTGTTGCAACAATAAATTATTACAATACAGTGCATTGTGATAATTCCTGTCATATCACAGGATAGGCACTAGGATGTCACATTATTCCCATGCTGTTACAGCCCATATAACAAAGGCAGTGTTGTGCAGATAGTGGACAATAATGTCTGTGGAAGAACAATATAATATCACTGACCTCTGCAGCA